GAGGCGTGAGCTCTGTGGCGTGGCTCGAGTGATCACCAGGTTCTGACGGCTACGGCGCCGTCGACCTGGTTGAATAGCTGGGGCCTGGACGAGAGTGCCCTTAGTACGGTGGTCAATCGGTTACGTCCGAGGGGCGCTCGAACACGCTGCCGTCGCGTGGCTGCCGGCGGCCGCCCCCTCGCACGTGAATCTCCTGGAGCGAGGACTGCGGGAGGCGGCCGCATCATCACCTGTATCCGCGCTCAACACCGTGCCACGCACTAATGGCGGAAGCCCGACTTTCTCCGATGGAGGAGAGAAGCTGGACGCTGGCTGCCAGGCTGCTGGGGAGGGCGCTGGGTCTGCCATCAGGGGACCCCCTGCACGCGACCGCCGAGGCCTCGGCACCGGCGCGCCTGCCTTCGGTCCGAGGCTGGAGATTGCGAGGCCGCCAGGCCTGGGCGAGAGCGAGAATCCCACCGTGGCAACAGACGGCTGGCGTCACCTTCCGGTTGGACGTGTGCCCGATCCGGGCTGGGGCCACGGCGGCGGAAAGGGAAAGCGTGGCTACGCTGCACCTCGCGTTCCTGCCCCTGTGTGCTGTCCGGCTTTGGACGGACGGATCTGTGGAGGGCGGAGTCTTCAGGCGCTGGGCGGGAGCCGTGCTGGTCTGGCTGGACGAAGAGGTCGAGGAACTGCGGGCCCCGGCCGGAGAGTTGTGCTATAGCTACCGCGCGGAGATGGTGGCGCCGGTGACCGGTCCGGAGACCGTACTCGGAAGAGACAGAGACCAGGACCTGCGGTCTCCGGTCCGTACCTATCTGCTAACTGTGCGGTAGTGCTGGTGTAGTGCAACATTTTTGGATGGCTAGCTACATTTCACGATTAAATAGCTGGTACGTTTCAGTGCAGGTGGCGTGACGAACAATGTGTCTGTTGGCCACTTCTGCGGAAGCTGCCATTTCCTACTCGAAAGCGGGCGCGCTGTTTGGCTGGGCCGGCAGGATGTTCCCACTTCCCATGTGTCGACGGCAAAGCGAGTATATTCATGTTCTTTTAATGCACAGAAGTCTGTTGTATATTTGAAGTTTTATTTTAGGTTGACGATTGCGAAGGGCAGATTCATCTTCTCTCTTTCATTTGTGTTGCCACTTTAGCGTTCATGTTTGTCATAAGTGTCCTGGTCCGGCTTGGTTGTCATCTTTATTCGTGATGTATTTTATTTTACGAACATGCTGGTGATCAATGCAATACACTTGATTAATAATGCTGCTTTAGCTCTGATCCTTTGTGGTATGTCTTGATTGTACTACTGCGATAGTGATTTTTCCTCACCAAAATATGCAGGCAACAAATGTAAATGCTGCCAAAAGTTTGTCATTGCGTGATGTATCTAAAAGACATCAAGTTTCTGAACGTGGTCGTGTACTACGCAACCGGAAACTCAATAGGACGTGGAATGCTGTGAAGCAAAACTACAGAAGTGAGGCTGGCCACGCCAAAATCAAGTGAGATATGTCTAGCCTTTCTTCAGCCGCCAAGGCTTCGACAGACTATCCGCGGGTTCGGTGTCTCTCGAACTACGAAAATTCAACGTCGTCCGGCCAATCCTGGTTAAGGTCAGCGGGGACTTAGCTGTGGTTATGGAACAGGATTGGCCGTCCGAGAGACTCAGAACCTGGGGTATGTTGCAGCACAGCTATGTCGACCGAGTGTCGTCGCAAGCTACCCCTTTCGACGAGAAAAAGTAAAACCGTCCCGTCCTAGGCTGACTAGGCTTAGCTAGGTGGCAGCACAGTCGCGCCGGCAGGGGGCAGTGCCACAACCAGCCGACTGATATTTTCGTGTGACGTCAGAACCGGTGCCTCCCTGGTCTCACGGCGGCGCCCGACCGGACGGCGTTGATTCGTTTTACTCCTAGAACACACCTTATACAGCTGTGCTCGGATTGCGCGCGGGAGCTCGAGTGGAGGACGGAATGCCTCGAGCAGAGGCCACAACAGGACTGCGTGAAATCACGAGTTTTACTTTGCAAGAATTTGACGCTGCCACTCACCAGGTGCCGAAAAAGCACCCCTGAGATTATGACAATTCTCCACTTCTGACAGTGACATCGGATGTCAGCCTGGCGGTCTCGCGGTGCCCGCTGACAGCTCTCCGTTGTTGTGACGCCGTCACTGCCGATAGAGATCCTACGTCGCGTGCCGGCAGTTTGCCAGACGTGCTGGGCGGCAGAGGTGCACAAATAGCCCAGCCTGTCTCCTACACGGTCTCCGATGGCTCCGGTTTGTCTCACCGATCATCCTTAGGTATATCCCAACATATCTATACTTTCAAGTAAAGCTGGTTATTTACATTACAGTTATTAATATATACAGGACGTAAACGCTATTCCTGAAGTGTTTTTATTTCTGAAGCTATCCGCAGATATATCGTCATTTTTTAAGAAGCCGACAGACATACGGTATGCGCTGATTTGGGCAAAGTGCGAGGCAGGACTTTGTACACCTCCACCTGAAATGCATACTGGTGGTGTATAAATAGACTAGAGTGAGGCGGTCTGGTTGTTGACTGTGTCTGGAAACACTGGAAAGTCAAGAACTACCCTCATAAAACCACCGGGACGCTCAATTAATTCCTCTCATCCAATGAGGGTTCAGTTCCACATGGACCAGACGGGCGTCCATCTGCCGTCCCATAGCGTCCCTCTCCCGTTTAGTGGGGCAGTTACTACTTGGCGGGCTGAAGGTGAAGTGACGTAACGCTGCAGTGTACGGTGCACATCAGTGTTTCTGTTTAGGAATATGAAACTTTAAGGAGTGTGTAACAAGTTTTTTTCCTGGATCAACATTACTTCATTTAGGTAAGAAAACATTATTTGAGGACGATTTTGCAATATTTGCTAATGGGACGAAGCCCATTAAATTGCTATGGAATACCTATCATATTGAGGACCGCAAACGTTCAGAAAACGTTTTGACTGTAGGCTTTAAGAAGCGGCTTTAAATCCTTTTATAATCCATCGCTGACTACATCTATGCTGCAATCTATACACATTTCACGTGCATCGCTAATCTCTTCGCTAATACAGATCCTGGTCTATTTTTTCTTGCTTAGCAAACCTCAGCTGTCTTGTAAAATTTTCACGACGCATTCATACATTACAGTTTAGAGGCAGATAAATCCGATATTCCTGTTTTCTGCGTGACTCTGTGAGGTCGGTCCCTGCCATGGATGGTGTGAGGCCATCCATGCTGCCGATCGTTCGACGCGCTAGTTTTATTGGGGGTTATATGACCGAAGGACATCGACGGCCGACGGAACTGCCTCGCCTGGCGGGGTCACCAATGTGGAACACGCTGCCGGTTTTTCCGAAGTAAAACTGGAGATTTGCTAGACAAAGTTAGACTAAGTGAATTAATGTACTTAGCCATACGAAAGCAAATGTTTGACAGAAAGTAAGCGGCCATTTTGTCGCTGCTGGAGACAACTGCCGGAAAACTAACTGCATTCCCGCAACATCCAGTTACTCATCGATACGTATCAAATGAAGCAGGGCAGATTACCATATTATTTTTCTTAGGATGTCGGAATATAACAACATGTTAAGATACCAAAAAGGTGCAATATCCTTGTTTATAACACAGCCTTTGTTCCGAGTCTGTGCCTTTGGATGGATCTCATGTGCTTAAACTCTTTAGAAAAATGCACTAAGTATCCATTTGAATTATTACTTATGCCAGCATGCATGGTAGAACAATAATCAATTGTAATTTGTTGTCAAGTCTAGATGTGTTTTCTCCACTGTCAATGACTGATTTCTTCTTGCTGAGTAATGTTTTGCAACCTATTAATTTCTATGCCAGTGGTGGCTCAAATATTGCTGCAAATATATGCAATGTGTAATCTTATATTGTTTAAATAAAGTTAGGCAAATTAAACTGAAATCATGACTGTAATATTTGAAATATGTCATCTGATTGACCTTCATCATACCAACATATAGCCTGGGCAAGGATTATGTCAAAAATGGCAAGGCAAGAGGAAAATAGAACAAGTCAGATTGTATTGCCACTCCTTTAGTCAGAGAATGAGGACAAGTTATAAGCAAAAAGCACAGATCACCTTGAATTCTTGAAATCAATGTCAAAGCCTACCTACCTGACAACTTGTATGGTCTCCCTCTTTTTAAAGTAATGCAATGCATTAGGTAGGTACATTGCTAGGTGTGAAATTTATGGAGAACTTCACAAACCCCATTACAAATCAGTTTTATAAGCATATGCTTCAAATTGCTATGCTTCCCACACTAACTGAAAGGTTTTTGAGCAAACTCATGAGCAAACTCCATGCCAGCATATCTTGTTATTGAGTAAACATGTTGACTACTTAACTGACCATTCCTTTTTCTATAATCATATTAATTACAATTCTACACAGACCTGTAGACAATTCATGACACATTTTCCACACACAAAATTATTATATACACAACTGAACACAAAGCCTATGTTTAAAATAATCACATATATCTGTTGCATTTTTGCTGTATAGGTACCTGTCTATAAAACATGAATAATTTGATGTTGTGAGCCTTGTGCCAAGATGAATGTTTGTGGTATTGGTGTTACAACAAGGAAATTGAAAATTTGTCATGCAGTTTAGGGAAGTTATACCTAGGTAATGTTCAAAATGAAGTGAGATGCCTTCAATTACTAAATCTCCAGTACATTGAAGAGCCATATATTCTTTTGAAGGAAATTATTAGGTACCTATTTACATTAGAGCTAGGTAGGTAGTTACCTGCATGTTACAGTTAGCATCTTTCAATGTTGTTCTTTATCAATCAAAATGAATGGAAAATTTAAAAAATAAGTAGAAGTGATCAGATAGGATAGGTAAAGCAATTTCACAATTCATTTGACTTTCAGTTTCAGTTCTCATCAAGCCAATTAGGTTGGGTACCTACCTACTTACCAGCACCTCCATAATCGCTCCCCAAAATGCCCCCTGCCACGAACCTCTTATGAAGAGTTTATAGAAGTGCAGGCTGCAGATTTCCGGCCCATGCAGAGTTTTCATTTCTTTGGCAATTCCTTAACTCCACTTGGAGCTCACAACCTTCTATTACCACACCATCACATCACAAAATATAATGTGAAGAAAGTCCTTATACACTTTGCTTACACTGCACAAGACACACATCCACAGCACAGTACAGCAACTGAAGCGAGCTGTTCACTGTTACAACTATCTTTCAAATTCAACTGACACCGATAGCTGGTTACCACGCAACGCGCTATGCAAATGGCGTCAGCTTGTCCTACGAATGGCGGTTGCTATGGAAACCAGCTGACGAAACTTAACCAGAACCCATTTTCGAACAGGAGTTTTGTTAAGGCGCCCCAAGAATTTGTGCGCCGTTTTTCGAAACATGCCCACCACTTTCGCAGTTTTTCATCCTACATTTTACCTACACGGTGTCTCATGAGACACAATGTTAATCCAATGGGAACTGTCTCGTGGGTGTCTCATGGAGGAGATTTGTAGGAACTGTTTTTGAAGACACGTAAAGAAATGTAATGACCAAATGCCGTTGACAGCTGATTGTACCGACCAATTGCTACCAGTTAGCTGTTTTTATAGTCATTTTTGTACAGAAAACACAAACTGAAATCTGTCTCGCGGCTACCCTCTTCGGCTCTTTCCTGTCTCCTACATTGTAGGCAAGTAGGAAGGTTTGTGCACCTCTGCTGGGCGGACGCCAGGTGCCGTCAGCTGCCGGCCGTCCGAGCTTGGGCGGTCTTAGGATCTGGGACAGTACTATGAGCTGGGACAGCTGGGACTCGGAGACGGGCTCACAGCTGGGATGTTGCAGGAAACGCTGCTAATGAGAGGTTTAATGGAGACGTTTGGGACTTCTGTCGAGGCTAAAGTGTCTCGTGCAGGAAACACTGCCTCTGCCGGGGTAAACATCGCGGGCTGCCAGGACGGCTGGTCTGGAGACCATGCGGCCCATTCCGGGCCCGCGGTAGAGCGGGACGGTCTCGGCGCGCCCTCAGTCGGGCCGGCACCGTCGGCCGAGTCGCACGTGCTGTGGCACAGGTGTGGTACTTAAATAGCGCAGACCGGCCGGCAGAGGTGAATAAAACTCAAAAGCTGTCACCTACGCAATGTCCAGCTGTCACCAATTTTTTACAAGTCATCTTGAAACAGTAGGCACCATATTTTTGACATTTTCTCATCATCTTTGTAGGCCTAATGAAATGAGGCCAGAATGTTAGAAAGAAACTGACCTTTCAAATTTCGGCCTTTGTGCATTACAATGCATCACCACATTTCAGTGACACAACAACAAAAATAAATTACTATCATCCAACTTACCTATAGGTCTGATCGACTTCTTAGCTCGTCCTGGCTTCCGGATCCAGTTCAATCAGAACTCACGAAAGGATTGTCAGTTGTCACTGATTCACTTGCCTTTGCTTCAGTAGTCAGAACCAATTATCAACGCTCCTACCAAGTTTCTGGGACCGATGGTCATGGACCTCACCCCAGTTGTGGCCCAGATGTGACGTCCCCCGTCCCAGTCGCCCGGTCCCTCCCTATCTCCGGCGGCGGCCAAGGCCGCGCCGGTCCCCGCCACCGCTCAACCGGCGACGAACGGGGACGAGCTGTCGCGCTGTCGCCGTTTTTCCTGCGTTGTCTATGGCGCTTTACAACGCACCGGCTGTCGTACCGGCGGGATTTTTCAGCCGGAGCTGGCTACAAAGAGATGACGCTGCTAAATTTTTTGTGCCGTGGTCCATAGTGGCCCTCTGTGGGAAGACAGCTCTGATTTTAGCGGAAACGGCCTAGTTATCTATTTTAAGTGCATCATCTGAGATGCTTGAATCTGTCTCTTTATTCCTATGGCTGTCACCTACGCACGCAGGCGAGTAGCAGGTTTATTTCACCTCTGCCGGCCGGCGCGGCGGTCACGACAGTCGGTGGCAGAGCCCGGCCCGTGCTGACAGTGGCAGAGACACCGGAACAAAGATCGGAGACGGAGACGCGCAGACGGAAAGAGACTGAGGCTCAGAAGCAGAGACGTAAAGACGGACAGGCGGGAGGACGTAAGTAGAGAAGAATACCTAGACGAACACCAAAAGACGAGCACTTAAGCGGAAAGGCGGTATCGACGTCGGTGAAGTGAGCTTCTGAATACCATGGAGAGCTGCCGACGCTGGTTCGCAGAGCGGCGGAACGGCTGCTGAGCACTGCGTGAGCTGCCGACGGCGGGTGCCGGGGGTGCCAAACACTGTCTGTGCGCGGCACACCTGCCCTGCAGCAGGGGCCGGCCGACGGCGCTGTCAGCGGCGCAGTCGGGCAGCGGGTGTCGAGGTAGGCGGAGGGCGGGCGGTGTGAGGGGGATCCGAGAAACGGGCCGCCCAGCTGCAGTGAGGCGGTGAACGGAGTCACACGAGATACAGTGACCCAGAGAGCAGGGTAGTGTCACCTGTAGTGACTCGCGGAAATTAGTCGTGATAATTATTTTATGCATGATAGAACCGCGCCACAAGGCGTGCTGAGTGCTGAGTTATTCAGGTGATAGGTACCGTGTTACCGCTGAAGTGGTAGAAAAAAGTGTCTAAGGTGATTTCGTTTGTCAGTGATGTCTCACAGCGCTCATGCTGACGGAGCAGAGTGAAGTGAGCGTCTCGGTGACAGCTTCGGTCGAACTCGAACGGGATACTTCCCAGTGAAGTGACGGAGCATGAGCGACCGGCCCAGAAAATCCGGTCACAGCTCCAGTGAAAGGAAGGGAAGCATTCATCAGATCAGGAACCTGAAGCTGGAGGAGGTAAGTCAGCCGCAATACCGGATATTCCATTGCACGATAAACGACTGCAAACGCTGACAGGTTGCTAAATGAGAAGTTTGATATCCTACAGACGCTGAATGACTGTGTGACTGTGGCTGGTGAAATAGCCAGATGCGTTCAAACCCCAGCTCCCTCCATGTCAGGTGAAGCTGGAGGAGCAGTATGAGGTGCTGCAGACGCTCTGCGAGGTGTGGTCCGGCCGTATTCTGCTGGCTGAGCACCGCGACAGCCGACACGAGGTCATCCTCAAGGCGCTTCACAAGGTGGCCACCAGCCGGGCCGACTTTCTGCGCGAGTTCCACTACAGGTGAGCTCGGCCGCTTCCAGGGTATCCCCGGTACTGAACTACGCTAAAGACGGAAGCCACTGTCCACTCTGTCTTATAAAGGATGATCGAATGGATGCTCGTTTCGTGTGTGACGGGTGTGCTGACCCGTACCTCCCACCCGGCCGGCAGTTACTTTCTGAGTCCCCACCGGAGCATCGTGACCACGTACGACGTGGCGTTCAGCACGTCCGACATGTTCGTGTTCGCCGAGGAGTACGCTCAGTTCGGCGACCTGGCCTGCTACGTCTCCAACGGCGGCATCGGCGAGCGCAACACCAAGCTGCTGGCGCCGCAGCTGGTCGCCGCTCTCGACTTCATGCACAGCAAGGGCCTGGTACACCGCAACGTGCGGCTCGACAACATCCTGGTCTTCAAGAGCGACCTGTCGCGCGTCAAGCTGGCCGACTTTGACCAGACGCGGCCGGTGGGCTGGCGCGCCCGGCGCGGCGACGAGTGGGCGCCGTACGCGCCGCCCGAGGTCGTGAGCCAGCCGCGCGGCGAGCTGTACACGGTGGCGGCCGCGCACGACACCTGGCAGCTGGCCGTGGTGCTAGTGGTGTGTCTGACCGGCGCCCTGCCCTGGCAGCGCGCCGACAAGACCGACGCCCGGTACGCGGCCTTCTGCCAGTGGCGCGGCTACCGGGCGCTGCGCGCTCCGCACCGGTTCGGCGAGTTCTCGCTGCGGCTGCAGAGCCTGCTGCGGCGGCTGTTCGAGCCGCGCGCGCGCCGCCGCTGCGCCGTCACCGAGATCGGCCGGCACCTGGGCCACCGCTGGACGGCCCGTTCGGCCTCGGCCGCCGCCGGCGACGGCGTGGACGCCGGCGACGCCACCTCGGTCTGCTACTCGACGTGGTCGGTGCACTCGTGTCAGCAGCAGAAGAACGCCGTGCTGGCGCCGCTGCGCGCCCTCGGACTGGAGACGGTCGTCGATCACGACGCCAAGCGGCAGCGGCTGCGGGACTGGGTGGCGCTGACGGCGCGCGGGCCCGCCCTCGAGGAGGAGGGTGGGCCGGAGCTGACGGAGGGCCGCGGCGGCGGCAGCCAGAGCTCGGCGGCGTCGGCGGCCTCCGGTCCGCGGCACAGTCCGGCCGGCTCGCTGGCCGAGGAAGACGTCGAGTAGACTCTGAACTGCCGGGCGAACTGGCCAGGTAGAGAGATCCGACTCCAACGACTTGACTCGGCCAGACTCGTGCGCTATCAAGTGGTATACGATCAAAAAGGTCACGATAAAAAAGTACCCGATCAAAATGCTAGACATACGGTCAAAATGGTAGATAAACGATCAAAATAGCGTACTTTTACGACACGTGTTGACCAATACTGTGCACTGGCAGATGATTTTAGATTATTTACCAAGTCTCGCCGTGGCGAAACTACTACCAGTAAAACGCCTTTTGGGCGACCAACGGAGCGAGCGAGAGGATGGGCCTTGCACGTGCGAAATTGCGAGGGGGTACCTCCAACTAACTTGTACCTCCAACTGCACCCTACTAACCGGTCTTTAGCGATGTGCCAAATTTCAGCGCAATCGGCCTAGCCGTTCTCGAGATCTGGAAGCGGCACACTGCACGTGCGCACGTGCAAGCGGGGTCCAAACTGACTTTTGCACGGCACCCTACTAACTGGTCCCCAACCGTGTACCAAACTTGAGCGCAATCGGCCCAGCCGTTCTCGAGATCTGGGAGCGCCCCCTGCACGTGCGCACGTGCTGTAGCACCCCAACCTTAACACATGCAGATGAGTTATCTGATGGAGACCTAACTGTGTACCGAGTTTCAATTCAATCGGCCCGACCGTTGTGCCGTTATTGAGGTTGCAATTTTGGGGTTCTTAAAAAATGTCCAACTTTACCACGCGCCACGTGCGGTGGTTGGCAAGAACGCATGGTGGCCATCACACCACAGAACTTTTACGTCCAAGTGACATTCAGTAAAGAAGACCGCTTGTCAATCGGATGTCCCGTTCCTAAGATATTAGCTTTTGAAGAGCGTCCCCACGGCCGGCCGGCCGGCCGGCCGGCCGGCCGCTCATACTCAGGATTTTCCCTTAATTCAGTATGAGACTCCGCTCGCTTCGCTCGCTCCGTAAAAACGTTGGTGTCACGGTGAGGCTAAATGTCCCGTTTCTGTGCAGTGTGAGCGTATGTCGATGCCGCTATCGTTGCTCCGTTGTGACTGTTCGCTGCATGATTGCTTCGTTTGACGGCGACTGCCAGCCGCCAGAAGCTGCGATGAAAGGACTGCCTCTTGGTGTGCCTGGACACAATCGGTGGCTTTGGACCTGGGCCTCCGTCTGCGGTTCATGTTCCATGTAACGAGCATCACCTATTCACCGCGTGCATGTCTTCCTCGCATTATTTGTGTGCCAGACCAATCGGATTGATCCTCACACATGATGTCATAAGTGAACGGTGTGACATACATTTGATATACCGAAATAAATGATATTCATTGTTAGTGCTACGTGTGTCCATTACGAAGAAGTGTTCGGTCTAGATGGAAACGGTGGTCGGTCCCTAGGCCTTGGGGCCCTAATCTATCAGTCTATGATCAGTCTATTGTAACTTGTTGTATAATAGGATTCGTTTATTTGTTCGCATTGGGTATGGAAAATTACGATATTCTATACCGGCCTCATAACGTTCTATCAAAACGTTCAGACCGTTCGTCCGCCGTCTGACGTACCCCAAATCATTCCCGGGTCACCTGTTTCAGTACCGTTTCACACCCCGGTGCGGAGGCAGGGCGTTCGCTCTCGGAGATCGGTTATAGGTCGGGCCGGGGTGGCTGGAGGAAAACCGGGTCGACGGAAGTGGTGCACGTCGGCGTGTTTTCGTTGGCAGGGGCCGCCGAGCGCCGGGCTCCGCGGGCCTGCCCGGCGCCCGGCGGCTGTCGGCGGCCGGCGGGGCACGGCCCGCCGCCAGACAGGCGGCGGGCCGGGCACCGCTAGGGGACCGAACACCGCACGGGCGGGGCGGAGCACCATTAGGGGGACGGAGCACCGCACGGAGCACCGTTAGGGGTACCAAACAACCAGACTGGGGGAGCACCACAAGACAGGCGGGACGGAGCAGCTGACGGAGGACGGAGCACCACTACACGGGGGGGGGGGGAGTGCCTGCTTCTGCTGACACTCTGTGTGAGAGGGGGTCATCTAACAAAGGGAATGGCAGGTCGACAGGTGGAGGATGGCTGTCACCACTGAGGAGGTATAACCGACACCCGGTGACGAATATAGGCATGACTGACAGTTCTATAGGCCGATATTTTTCTCGTCCCAGACTCTTCCCTGTCCGTTCTACACTGTCCCGTCTGACGCTCGAGATAAGGCCGTGGTATGTAGTGGTCACCTGTTACGCCAAATATCCCGAATCCGAGAGGTGCCAACAGCCACCGGACGGGAACATCAGGGTATCCGAGAGGTGCCAACAGCCACCGGACGGGAACATCAGGGTATCCGAGAGGTGCCAACAGCCACCGGACGGGAACATCAGGGTCAGGGTCGGCGGGGGCACGTCCTACAGACCGAGGTCCGCCCCGAGCTGGGGTTTCGGGTGCGTGTGACCTGCGCAGGTGTCGTTCCAGGGACATCGGGGGGAACATTCATTCTGGCCAGGGTTCATAATGTCCAGGGTACGATATGCCCAGTGTCGAAATGGCCAGTGCCTTGAATAGGCCAGAGTTCATAATGTCCAGGGATTGCATGGTCCAAATGCGGCCAACTGGCTGCAGATAGGGTATATTCAAAGAGGCCAGGGTTCATAATGTCCAGGGCACGATGTGTCCAGTGTTCGAAATGGCCAGGGTTCATAATGTCCAGGACACGATGTGTCCAGTGTTCGAAATGGCCAGGGTTCATAATGTCCAGGGAACGATGTGTCCAGTGTTCAAAATGGCCAGTGCCTTGAATGGGCCAGAGTTCATAATGTCCAGGGATTACATAGTCATTGAAAGTGACGTCATTATGTAAAAACACGGAACCAGCTCAATGCGAAGCAGTGCAGTGCCGAAGGCAATGCCTTAGGAGAGATTACAGGCAATAGTAAATCAAATATTTTTAGGTTAAGTGGTTATGTATCTGGCTTCAGGCCGAAGGCCTGAAGCCTGATGCATAACCACTTAACCTAAAAATATTTGATTTACTATTGCTTGCAATCTATTCATGCGAGAAACTATTTCCTTATCCCCGGTAGGCAAACATCATTACCTTAGGTTAGGTTAGGTTAGGTTAGGTTAGGTTAGGTTAGGTTAGGTTAGGTTTGGTTTGGTTTGGTTTGGTTGACTGTGTAATCCCTGGACACTATAAACTCTGGCCAATTCAAGGCACTGGCCATTTTGAACACTGGACACATCGTGCCCTGGACATTATGAACCCTGGCCATTTCGAACACTGGACACATCGTGCCCTGGACATTATGAACCCTGGCCATTTCGAGCACTGGACACATCGTGCCCTGGACATTATGAACCCTGGCCTCTTTGAATTTACCCTATCTGCAGCCAGTTGGCCACATTTGGACCATGCAAACCCTGGACAATATGAACACTGGCCAATTCAAGGCACTGGCCATTTCGAGCACTGGACACATCGTACCCTGGACATTATGAACCCTGGCCTAAATAATACGCACCCGACATCGGCCGTGCAGTGGAGTCTCGGATAATCTGCTCCACACTTCCTTCATAGCAGTTGCACCAGGCGACGATTAAAGCCAAGACCCGTGCCAAACGGCCTTTCACCAGACAGAGGCGGGAGTCAGACACCAGCCAGAGAGCTGCGCGATAATTCCGTCCCGGGGCTGAGTTCTTTTCACGGTATCCGCCGCGCCGTGCCGCTGATCTGAGGCTGCCCGGAACGTCTCACTGCAGACGGGTGGCAGGCTCTGTCAGTCGACGGAGCCCTGTGTTTACGTTCCCCACTCAACTCCGGCAGTCCCCGCCAGATGTCAGCGCGGTCGGTCCGCCCGCGGCGGCCAGGCGCGGACAGACGCTACAGAGGAGTTATGTGTGATGACAGGTGTTATTTGTCCGTAGCCTGAAGGTTAAATATGATAACAGATTACTCAGCACACCGTTGTTGGCACGTACCCACCCCAGCAAATAACTCGAAGTCGGCTAGACGTGTAGAACCTGCAGACGGCGAGCGCTAACCCATCATCCCAGCTGGAGAACATTATTATCCCAGTCATATACAGCACATAAAACCCTGGTCCTCTCGTCATCCGTTTATTGAAAAAGTCGTCTGCGAAGTGCATGGCCGGGGCCGAGGGCTGCGCTATGTACAAAACGTCCTCCACACGGCCACCGGCCGAACCACTAGTTCTGCAGCCGGCCGGCAGATGGCAGGCGCGGCGCCGTCCACCACGGGACGCCGCTAGCACAGGAATCAAGCAGAAAGCACCATTTCACGGGTTTGGCGGGCGGTCGCAGCGCCCCGAGGGCATACATAGCGGTGATCAGCGGACGCCTGGTAAACAATACAACGAATAAACTGTTAGAAACCAGCAACTTAACTAGCGCTGCGCGGGGTGGCCCGTCCCGGCCCGCAGCCGCCGCCGCGCCGCCGGAGACACGTACAATTCGTTGTCTATTTAGTGGCCGGGCGCGGCGGTCCAGCGGCGCCCTCTGAGACGCTCCGTCTAAAAATATCGCACGGCCGTCCGGCGCCGCGGCCGAGTCTCTCACACACTCTCTCTCTCGTTCCCTCTCTCCACATTGGGACAGGCGAGGGGGCCGCGCGACACATCATGACTACAGCGGGCGGCCGGCCGGTCCTGCGCCGTCCGTTCGCCGCACTCTCTGTCCATCGGTCCGCGGACTGCTGCCGCCGCTGTACCACTGTCCGCCGGCCACCTCCCACCCAGCAGGGGGACGGCCAGCCGCCGCAGCGCCGCCCGTCAGCACCGGCCACACCCGGCAGCCGCACGGGTCGAGTCGGCGCGTCTCTGTCTGACTGTGGGTGTCCAGGGGCCCGGCCGTGCGCGTCCGGTTCCGTCTGTATTCGGCTGCTTGTTACAGGTAGTCTGTTCAGTGTTGCGTTTGTGTTTTAATATTATCTTTGGCCGGACGCTGGGGTCCGTGTGTGTGTGTCAGTTTGTGTCAGTGATGTCTGTACCTCCCCTCTCCCTCAGATGGCTGGCTGTGCGCTCTGTCGCCGGTGTCTCCCTCCGTCAGTCCGGGCGGCGCCTCCCGCGGCCCGGCCCGGCCCGGTCGGTCCTCCAGCCCCTCTACGTGTGGTAGGCGGTGACGTAGGTGTTGGGGAAGAGGCCCTTGCGGTCTCCTATCTCGCCGTTCCACCAGTGCTGGTCGGAGCGGTCCGTCACCGTGATGATGTCGCCCCGCTGGAACTCCAGCTCGCCTTGCTCCTGCGGCTTGAAGTCGTACAGCGCCTGCACGTGGTACTGGAACGGACCGAAACGCGGGCCGAGTCAGGCGGGACGGTCCCGCGGCGCTCCCAGTCCGCCAGAGGGATGGTTCGGCCGGAGGGGTGGCTCCGCCTGATACTGGGAGGGTCGGCCGGGGGACACCGGTGTCCGCGGAGGGGCTGGGAAAGGCTCTGTCTTATACCGGCACACATAGTACTGAGATAAGGGTTCCAGTGACCAGTTGTCAGGGTTCTGTGAATATCCCCAGCCGCCCCAGCGACCCGACTGTGTAATCAGACCGAGTAATACCAGCCCAGCTCGAGTGAGCGCGAGGGTGAGGGTATTAATTCTTATCCAATCAGATGGAACATTTATTATGAGACTGATAGTACATACTACTCAGTAACGGGGACGGCGGAAGGGTACAAAATACCGAGAAAGGTACTGGGGGTTGGGACATACAGTTTTCCATTCTGGGTACCCACAAAACACTCTAAATGGGTTATGAATACTGACACAACTGACATCCTGTGAGACCATGTCCCTCAGAAAGCCCACTGACCTGTGAAACCGTGTCCCTCAGTTTGAGAACCCCGCACTGACCTCCTGTGAGACCATGTCCCTGATAGCCCGCACTGACCTCCTGTGAGACCATGTCCCTGAGTTTGATGTCCTGAGAGCGACTGACGCTGGCAGAGCGGTGGTATTCGACTAGCTCGTTCAGTGAGCTGAACTTGACCACCCAGAGGAAGAACTTGCCGCTGGCGTCCCTCAGCACCTTGAAATGCTGCACGCCGTCCCCGCACCTGGAGGTAACAGGGGGGTCAGTCGGTTGGACAAGTGAGGTGAGGGGTCAGTGGGACAGGTGAGGGGTCGGTGGGAGGGTAAGGACGGATCAGTGGGGAGGAAAGCCCCACCCGGGCTCAATCTTATACACTGGGGCAATAAAAGATTCCGCTCGATCAAGCCATCGATAGCATGCAATCTTATCAACATCGTAAGATCGTCTCCCCTATTCACGGGAGTTTACCACAGGACGTTTGCCAATCTGGTTATGCTCAACTGCATTAGTCACATTGTCAGACACACCGGGGTCATCTTCATACAAAAGCATCGCCAATAAAAAGCTGCGTGCACCTCCTATCATGTGCAGCAAACAGCAACGTAAAAGAGTTTGTAGCGTACTTATAGCTACTTGCAAAGTGTAACACACCGGCTATAATACTCCACCTTTTACATTATACTAACGTTGAGCCTACTCCACACTGAAATAAGCTGATGCGGGGTGGATGAATATAATTCATAGCATTGTGCAGTACTTTTGACGCTGCAAATAATCCACATCGCTATCACCGGCAGCTCCCAGCAGGAGTGGCGTAGTATTTGGAGAGTAGTACTCCAACTGATAAGATAGGACCGGCAGCTGATTGTAGCGGAATGAAACTGCTGTGGGCGCCGGGGTATCCGTCCCCCGTAAGCCCCTCAGACAGCACACTGGACGAGGAACCGGCGCTGATCGAAGGCCGACCCGCCCAGCCGGGCAGGGAGCCACCACCTCCCCGGTACCGCCCGGACACCCAGTAGGGGGAGCCACCACCTCCCCGGTACCGCCCGAACACCCAGTAGGAGAGCCACCTCCCCGGTACCGCCCGGACACCCAGTAGGAGAGCCACCTCCCCGGTACCGCCCGAACACCCAGTAGGGAGAGTCACCACCTCCCCGGTACCGCCCGGACACCCAGTAGGGGGAGCCACCACCTCCCCGGTACCGCCCGGACACCCAGTAGGGGGAGCTACCACCTCCCCGGTACCGCCCGGACACCCAGTAGGGGGGAGCCACCACCTCCCCGGTACCGCCCGGACACCCAGTAGGGGGAGCCACCACCTCCCCGGTACCGCCCGGACACCCAGTAGGGGGGAGCCACCACCTCCCCGGTACCGCCCGGACACCCAGTAGGGGGAGCCACCACCTCCCCGGTACCGCCCGGACACTCAGCGCCTGCGCTGTCACACGGGGAACACCGCCGCTAAACACGGCGACACGCGCCGCACGACCGGTGACAACGCCCCACCGGCGCCCGAAGCAGATAGGGAGACGATACGCCGGAATGTCTAACACCATACGGGGAGGGACGGGGTGACGCCCCCACCCCTCCCACGGAGCAGGCCGGGCCGTTTGGAGTTGGCCCACCCCGCCAGGAGCCGCCCATGACGCGACGCGCCGGGCCGGCTACACCGTGACGTCATCCGAGTCGGGCCGGACCACCGACGGCGTCCGACACCGACGAAACGGCCCGCGCTCAGCCGCCGCCACACAGCACAGCTTAGCCGCGCGCTGACAGTGCCGGACTAGGCACGGACTTTCCAGTTGAATTTCTTCACTTAAGAACCGAGTTATCTGGAGAGCACACGAGGATAGAACCGAGGAGCTGATCTCGCCTACATTCATCCCATGTAGAAGAATGGTGTTATTGTTTCCGTTTTTTAACTCCTCCTTGAACCAGTAGTTTTGACAACAAGCAAAATAGTTTTGACTTTTGGTCAAGAAAGCAAAAGACACGATTTTGTCTTATTTTCTTGGTCTCCAATGTGTAATTCTCGGTCTCATACCTGAACAATTATTATGAACGAGCGCAAAGCAGTCCTTTCACAGAAAAAAACCTTAGGAAGGGCATTGGGCAGCCTAGCCCGTAGCACTTTTCAGAGGCTGATGTCACAGTAACTGCTTGGAGCCGAAAGACTTCTAGTCTATAGCTAGGTAGGCACATCCCTTCTTCCTAAGCTCAAACTACTCTCCATGCCTCAAACCCAGTAGATGATCACCACTGTCTAACGCACGTGCCACGTGCAATATCAAGAGGTGTCAAAATCAGACGATGCATTTCCAAACGTCACGGCTGGGGCGTAACTTTACGAGGGTACGGGGCAGGCAGGTGACGATACCGCATCTCCAGAGGGACTGGGCCGGTTTGCGACAAACTGGTATGCTGTGGGCACCGGCTGGCGGCTACCTCAATGATTTTAGCCAAACAGTTCCGCAAAATTAAGTCAGTGGTCTCTCTTTGCAAGTGCTCAGGCGCAGGGCTATGGTTCGCGTTCGTTTGTCGCCAAGCTCGCGTTCGTTTGTCGCCAAAAAAGCTTCTTAGCACCTATTTGTTGGCTACATGATCCCTGTGAATTCCCCCGGGCAGTCGGTGTCGGTGAGACGGGACGGACGGCGGCACTCACTTGACGCTCAGCGAAAAATCGGCCGGAGAGCTCTCGCTGACGCGCACCACGAACGCGCCCTCGTGCTTGTTCATCAGCATCTTCTCAGCGTCTGCGCGCGTGATCCTGCCGTAGTACCAGCTGAAAACATACACATACAGAGTCAGTATCAGCTGAAAACACACACACATATCGAGTCAGTACCACTGCTGTAAACACACACATACAGAGTCACTACCAACTGAAAACACACATACTGAGTCACTACCAGCTGCAAACACACACACACACACAAACATAATTATGTGTCAAACACACAAACTCAGTGTCAGGACCACTTTCAAATATACACAGTGTCAAGGACAGCTGGAAATGAACAGGCAGTGTCAGAAGCATACTGGCAGGAGATCACCAAGCACAGATAGGAGTATCAACTGGAATACAGCAGACAAAACAACAGAACACTAAAAGCAAACAGGGGTCAGCTGACAAACAGCAGCCAAACAACAGAAACAACACCAACACAAACATGAGGGTTAACTGGCAAACAGCATCCAAAGCACAGAACTGCAGCACCAGCAGAAACAGCCAGCAGAGCCATCAGCAAGTAACAAATCCAAACATTCCACCTGAGCTGCTGCCATTTATCACAAACATTTTACAGTCTGCCCCAGTGTGTAGGTGAAAGGGAGTAATGTGTATCCGTAAGCAGCTTCCAAAAATGTGAGGCATAATGAATGTTTTTACTGATGTCAAAGGCAGCAAGGAAACTAGCAATACAAGACAGATATGAAAAATGGTTCACTTATGAGCTGATAAACCAGATATAGGTCACATTACAGCAGAGAGCAGCTGAATCATGATGTCCAACTGCAGAAGACAGTGGTGTGGGGATACTGACTCATGGGGCTTCATCTCGATGTAGTTGCTGGGGATGAGGCCCTCTCGACTCTCCAGCTCCGCGCGGTACCAGTTCATGTCATCCTCCATGTTCAATATCTGCAACCACACCAAGGCATAGATAGTGTATCAATGACATCTAATCAATATATTACATGGTTAACACTAATTAAATCATTAATCAAAACACTCATTAAGATTGTCTATTGGGAAGCAGTTCTAATAGGAAGTAGTTAATCTTTGCAGTTTTAATGCATTGATATGAAAACCTAAGCTGCTTTCACTAATATTATTTATTTGGTGAAATCTATTCATCCCATTCATATATACAACCCATTTATCAGAAGAGCTGGTGCTGTGTGACACAAACAACAAAAGTGGATGCATTCACAACTGTAAAATCAGCTATTGAAGACGAATATAATGGTATGCCTCACAAGCACAAAAGCAGTTTTCATTTAAGAAGATGGGTAGGTCAGCACTCCAGATATCAAGTAGTTGGTTGCAAACATCACAATAATAGACCTGCATTGATGTATACCCCTGTAATGTAGGCAGTTAAGGCTAACCAGCAACTCTTTGGCTGGAGGGCTATTGCCTAGTGAAAGTGATCTGCCAACAACAAATCAGTCGGGGAAACTATGGCAAAATCTGCTATTTTTAGCAGTCTGCTATTTTTGACAGAAATCTGCCAAAAATGGGTACGCATGTGACGTCATCGTACCCAAATATAGCAGATTTGGGTACGCCGTACGGCCCCATATAAAAGCAGATCTACACCCTAATTGAAGCAAATGCGCATCAAATGCCTGGCAGATTCATGATGAGAATAGTGCTGAGAGTGATCTCTGCTATTTTTGTTCAGATCTGACTATTTTCAAATTCATTATTTGAAAATAGTCGGATCTGAACAAAAATATCAGAGGACATTCTCAGCACTATTCTAATCATGAATCTGCCAGGCATTTGATGCGCATTTGCTTCAATTAGGGTGCAGATCTGCTTTTGTATGGGGCCGTACCCAAATCTGCTATATTTGGGTACGATGACGTCACATGCATACCCATTTTTGGCAGATTTCTGTTAAAAATAGCAGACTGCTAAAAATAGCAGATTTCACCATAGTTTCCCCGACTGAAATAGAGAATGGCTGCCCAATGGCAATGCCAGAGTAGTGAATGATACAAGTTCATATTAAATTAATATATCAGTAGTTTAAGGGTCCCTTTGCAAAGCAGCAAAAGGGAGAGGCAAACACTGACATTGATATTGCAGAACAGAAACAACTTCCCCAATGCAAATTATTGAAAGTCCCACTCAGTATAACTCACCTTTAAGACATTTCCTTTTCTGAAGCTAAGCTCATCTTCAGCTGTTGCTGCAAAATCGTGCCTGGCAATGGCCTCCATCGTCCCAAAAGCCAACGATTATTTCAATATTTTCCTAAGGGGCCAGGCCCTTGCACAAATTAGGCGAAACTTGCGCAGCTGACAGTGTATTTCAACGCCCCTTTTAAGAACTGTCCAACGGCAGCACAGTTATAAAACACTTCACCGTGGTTTTGCAACACTTTTCTTCGAATAGCTATGGGTGTTCTGTAGCAATAATTTCAAAATAGGGAGCAAACAGGGCACAACTTCACAGCAACACACCGGATCCGACCCAATAAATGTCGAGAACTGTTGCACTGTAGAGGTGGACAATCTGGAACAGAGTCTTCTGAGACTTATTTGTTGTCTGGGTCTTACACACAGGAATAGATATGCAAGTTATAAATGAGTCACTAAATTATTTATTTGATTTATTCAAATAGTGGTATGTTGTTAAAGAAGTAGGAAATTTTGTGAACTCAGAAGTGAAAAATTGGAAAAGTACTTGAATACTTCTCACTAAGAGTGGCCAGATTTAGTTAAAAGTTGAAGAAGAACGTTCATCCAACATTATTGAAACATTGGCAACAATGCAATAGGCTTAGTGAAAAATGTTGAACAAATTATATCTATTTTTTACATTTCTAGGCCTTATTCTGGCATGAAAAACTATTAACCAGTGCCCCGTTTCGGTCGGCCTAGCAACGCGCCCTGTTTGGGGGGTATTTTGCCCCCCTCCCTAAGATGTCGAGAACCACGCAACATAGCGACAAACTCCAAACGGTTTTGGATAGCCCCAACGAGGAACTACCTTGTGACCTAATTTCATTGACCTCGGTCAAACCGATGACGTGACAGGTCAGGTCAAAAGTCGAATTTTCACCGTTAAATCCGCGCCCCAGTGGCGGTCTCAGCCAACTTCGCCCTAGTGGGGGGGGGGGGGGGTTATGTTACCACCCACCTCTAACTCAAAAACTAAGAGGGCTAGAAAGACGCGGTAAAAAGCAATCGATAGCTCTCAATGCGTACGTTTGAAAGTATTTCGGTCATTTTTCATCTTAGAGCAATATTGGGGTCACTGGAGGTCATCAAAGGTCAAAATTTGCCAAATGTCATTATACTTTTCCAAAAACATGCATTTATCTCAGGAACTATGATAGTTAGAAAAACGCATTGAAAAGCAATCGATAGCCCTTGAACTCTTCTTTCGATAAGTTGATCATCAAAATTGACCTCAGGTCAACGGTTTAGCCTCCAGAGGGCAAAAACTCCAAAAATAGCTGTTTTTACGGAAAGTGTTTTTCGACAATAACTTTTGACTAAAAAACGCCACGACATTTCTATTGCCAGAATCGTGTTCCTCTCGCCGAGACGCATCGAATGAGCTATAATTTGACCTTGCAAGGTCAACTTGAAAATTTGACCTCAGGTCAAGGTCATGACCTGACCGGAAAAGGTCATGTTGCATATCAGTCGATGCGTCTCGGCAAGACAAACACAATGAGACCATCCCCAGCGTTCTATCTCTTTCCAATCGAGAGTTATTGGCAAAACTCTGTTTGTAGCCTCAAATGACCTCGGATGACCTTTCTAGAGGCTATCAGCAAAAACGACACCTTGGTCGTCACGGGTGGTCCGAATCATTGTGATTCTGAAATATTTGGACTGTTCCTATGCGTACACACGGATCTAGAGGCATTTTCATTTTTCTCCATTGACTTATAATGGTAAGGTTACGCCACTGACCTGACCTTAGGTCACGGGTATAAAAAATCCGAGATATACAAATTGTAGGCGCCTATAACATCATGCAATCCACCAAGTTTAAAACCTTTCTGACAAACACTGCAGGCTGGACATAATTGCAAACTTTTTTTTAGGCTTGGTCAGTTAACTTGACCTGGTGACCTGACCTGACATGACCTGGGGTCAAAAATTTCACACATTGTCCACAATTGATGTGCGAAAAGCTACCCCAAGCGGCGTGGCGCTACGCGCCGCTGTTTTTTATTCACACGCGAAAAACACGACAGGGTGGTAACATATGCCCCCCCCCCCCCCACTCTGGGGCGAAGGTTTTAACGGGGCACAGGCATTTCAAGAAATGTGTTGTAAAATCGAATAAAATGCATGTCATTAAAATCATCGATGGGGAATCGTTCGTCAAACACATATTTTACTAGTTAACCCGCGCCCCGTAGGGCTATCGGCGGACCCTAGTTTCACCCCCCCCCCCTAAGATCTCTGAAATTTACCGGCCGCTTTTCAAAATTCAAACGGTGTTCGATAGCCCCACCAAGGACCTACATTCTGACCAAATTTCATTGACCTAGGTCAAACTGATGACGTCACAGGTCAGGTCAAAGGTCGGAGTTCACAGGCATTTCAAGAAATGTGCTGTGAAATCGAGTAAATTGGTAATTTATTGAAAACCATCGATGGCATATTGTTCGTCAAACACATCATTTGCTATCTGAGGTCACTGATACCAGGTCAGGTCACAGCGAGGTCAGGTCACCGGGGTCACAATATGAAAGTGTCGTGTGACATGCTTTATGGTCCATTTTACATGACAAATGCGATTATGTGGGTTAGGCAGCCTTTGGGGCCAGCGTAGGTCACGTTTTGGTGAAGGTCAGGTCAAGGTCAGGTCAAATTAGGTCAAATTTCAAAGTTGATATTTTTGCATAAAATGGGTATTGATTCGATGCAGCTCGTCACGGGGAGTCTAATGGTGGTCTTTGTTTTGCTCTAGGAGGTCTAGAATGGCCAAATATTGAGTTTGAAAATTTGACGTCATCATTTTTGAACAGTTTTTTTCGCTATAACTTGGCCAAAAAAATGAGGTATCGATCTAAAACTTGATATTTAGATAGGAGACAGTAGGTACTATGACATATATCCCGGTTTTTACGAAACTCAAAAACTTTTTGGGTTTTTTGGCTAATATTTAAACAAAAATTGCATTTTTGATTTTTGGGGGTCAAAACTCAAAAATGTTAAAAATCCGAGATAGCAGTTTTGTAATCCTATTAATTCTACACCTTTTATGCCTTAATCATTTTTCTGTATCTTCAAAGCTGTAGGCCTGACAGGTCTTCTCGCGAAGGTCTTTTTTCGGTTGAAAATGACAGAACATGACGTCATTCTGAAGTCATTTGTGGCCAACCTATCATAGCCTCTGGAAAATTTTTGGTCACAATGTGTAAAATTGATGCCCGGAGGGGTCCTGAAAGTTTGGTGGCGATATCTCCAGCCGTTTAGGATATATCGACGGAAAAGGACAGGTGGGCCGTTTCGGCACCCCCCTACGGGGCACGGGTTAAGGTCACTGATACTAGGTCAGGTCACAGATGTCACTGGTCAGGTCACTGATGGTCCCAATACGAAAATAAGTCACGCGATGCATGTTTTATGGTCCATTTTACATGAAAAATGCTATTTTGTAGGTCAGGCAGCCTTTGTGGCCAGTTTGGGTTATGCTCTGGTCAAGGTCAGGTTAAAGTCAGGTCAAATTAGGTCAAATTTCAAAGTTGATATCTTTGCATAAGATGGGCATCGATTCGATGCAGCTCGTCACGGGAAGTCTAATGGTGGTCTTTGTTTTGTGCTACGTGATCTAGAATGGCTACAAATTGAGTTATCTAAAAAAAATTGACGTCATGAACTTTGAACAGTTTTTTGCTATGACTTGGCCAAAAAAAGGAAGTATCAATCTAAGATTTAACCCGCGCCATGATGGGGTCTACCGAGCAACGCGGTTTGATGGGGGGGGGGGGGCATTTTGACCCCCCCCCCCACCTAAGATCTCGAGAACCACGCAACGTAGCGACAAGCGGCAAACGGCGTGGGATAGCCCCAACGGGGAACTACCTTGTGACCCAATTTCATTGACCTCGGTCAAACCGATGACGTCACAGGTCAGGTCAAAGGTCGAATTTTCACCGTTTATAGGCATTTCAAGAAATGCGTTGTAAAATCGAGTAAAATGCATTTCATTGAAAATCATCGATGGGGAAATGTTCGTCAAACACATATCTTGCTACTTGAGGTCAGTGATACCAGGTCAGGTCACAGAGGTCAGGTCACTGAGGGTCACAAATTAAAAATATCATGTGATGCATGTTTTATGGTCCATTTTATATGCCAAATGCGATTATGTGGGACAGGCAGCCCTTGGGGTCAGTTGAGATTGTTTTAGTGAAGGTCAGGTCAAGGTCAGGTCAAGGTCAGGTCAAATAAGGTCAAATTTCAAAGTTAATATTTTTGCATAAAATGGGTATCAAAAATTTGACGTCATCAATTTTTAACAGTTTGTTCGCTATAACTTGGCAAAAAAGGGGTATCGATCTAAAATTTGGTATGTATATCGAAGAGCGCAGGGACTATCACATTTATTCCGTTTTTTTCGACATTCAAAAAGTTTTTGGATTTTTTTTAGTTTTTCTTAAAAAGTCAATTTTTTTTTAATTTTTGGGGGTTAAAATCCCAAAATTTCGAAAATCCGAGATAGCAGTTTTGTAGCGCCGTCTTTTGTCTACACAACCACATAAAGAACTTTAAAATTGCTTTTTAACTGCAGAATTGGTGAGCGTTTCAAGATTTCATGTTTTTTGCTCATTTTTACTCGAACATGACCTCAGTTTGACCTCAATAACTCCTGACCTAAGGTGACCTAAGACTTGAAATTTTGTGCGAAGCGTTTTCTTGTTACTTAGAAAACACCACAGGGGAGCCAGATTGCAACCCCCCCCCTCCCCCAACTGGGCGAGGGTTAACCCGCGCCCTGCTGGGGGGGAGTGTTTGAACACCCCCCTTGTGGTTTTTCGCGAATATCTCAAAAACGGCGGCACGGAGCGCCGCCGTTTTGGTACACCTTATCATATATCAATTCTACACATGTTGTGAAAATTTCAGACCGAGGTCATTCAAGGTCAGGTCACCAGGTCACTTGAAGTGACCTCACCTCATAAAACGTTTCAATGTCTGCCATAGCTACACCGAGTGAGCGATCGCTTTGAAACTTTCAGCGATTGCTAAGGGTAACAGTGTCTATAAAATGAATATCTCGGAATTTTGATATCCATGACCTAAGGTCAGATCAATTTTGCGACCTCTCCATTATAAGTCAATGGGAGAAAATTGAAATGCGTCTCTTTTGGACGAAAGACATTATAAACACTCCCAAACACTGATTTACAAGTGGTTTAGACACACTGAACATGAAATTGGTGTCTGTAACCCCTATTTATGCCCCTGAGGTCATCTCAGGTCACGAATGGTGTCTAACAGTTTTTCGCAAATAACTTTTGATAGAGGCATGCTAGAGCGGTGAAAACGCCTTAGATGTGCTCAGCTCGACGATACAGATCGACTGATATGCAACATGACCCTTTCCGGTCAGGTCATGACCTTGACCTGAGGTCAAATTTTCAAGTTGACCTTTCAAGGTCAAGTTGTAGTTCATTCGATGCGTCTTGACGAGAGGAACACGATGCCGGTAAAAGTAAGCTCTTACAAGGCTTGGGTCAAAAGTTATTGCAGAAAAACTTTCAGAAAAAATCGGCTATTTTTGCAGTTTTTGTCCCCTGCAGGCAAAACCGTTGACGTTAGGTCAAATCTGAGAGAATTACTCAGAAAGGGCGTTAATAGGGCTATCGAATGCGCTTTTCCGCGGCGCTGTAGCTTTATTGGTTCCCGAGTTATGCGTTGGCTTCCTGGAAATTGTCGACATTCGACCTGAAAATCGGCGAAATTTTGCCTTCAATGACCTCTGGTGACCTGACCTTTGACCTGACCAAAAAGTGACCGAAGTGATTTCGTCATTATTTTTGGCGTTCTTTCTAACGCTGCCTTCCGCGTATCGCTACGTGGCCCAGGAGCCGAGTTAGAAGGGGGGTGTTCAAACACCCCTCCCCCCAGCAGGGCGTGGAAATCCAGGACCCCCAGCCGTCCGCGGGTTAAACATGCTGAAGACGGCCTTCAACGGCCAAAGATTGCACCATTCACTGATTCTGTTACGTGGTCCAAAGAAATAAGCATACCTATATCTTGTGTAACATAACCTATAAATGACTTAAAAAGTAGTCAAAAAAAGTAGTCTTTAACCCTCGCCGGCACGGGGGGGGGGTTGATGCAACCCCCCTTAAGGTTTTTCGCGAATAACTCGCGTAAAAAGCGTCTGATCGCAACGAAACTTTCAGTACCCTCGCATTGATCAATTTTACACCTACCCTAAAAATTTCATGACCCTGACCCAAATGACCTTTGACTTGTGACCTCTTTTCCGAGACCATGTTTGGCCGGAATCGCGATTCGGCGTATGTCGGCTCGCATTAGCCGCGCGTTTGCAAGCTTTTCGTGGTTTCAAACCTTCAAACATGTGATTTGATGTTGCTCCCATACATTAGGGTGGGTGTCAAGGTCACCTGAAGGTCAGGTCAGGTCATTGACCTTTGGTGACCTCGGGTGACTTCGGTTCACTTTTTTGAATTTTACATGTTTCTAGGCTAGTTTTTGGAGCTGAATTCGAATTTAGCAACCATTTGAACATTTACGAAGTAGTTTTGGTGCCTTCGTAACATGTTACGAACATGTTACGAAGCTGTCAGAGGCGGTTGACACGTATTACGAATACCCGTCACAACCCCTACCGGTTGACCTGACCTGACCTGACCCGACCTGGTCTAAATGCTTAAAGACATCATCTCTGATCAAAACTAACACGATATTCGTGATCAGCACCCCGGAAAACCACATAACAGCCACACTTTACGACTTTCTAACAGGTCCCGATTTTCCCGGTTTTCGGGTCATTGACCTGACCTGGAAGGTCACCCGATGACCTAGGACCTTAAAATTGGGCATCATCAGCTTCCTCTCGTGACGGGCAACACGCTCGTTTTTTCCGCGAAGCTTTAGCTCGATCAGGGGCCAAACGCGAGGGGGGTCGTACCAACCCCCCCCCCCCCCTTGTGCCGTCGAAGGACGCAAAATGGCCTGTGCCGGCGAGGGTTAAGTTATCAAACAACTTATGAACTTAGGAAGATAGCATCATCTGCCTTTCTGACTAGTTGGAAATAATGTGGCTGGAGTTATTGTTGAGAACAGGACAATGCAATGCCCACGGCCCAGCCGCAGGCTGAGATCGCCAATCACAATGAACGCATGAGAATTGGCAAGCAATCACAAGGAGGGCGGGGAATGGAAATACTTGTGCAAGGGAATAAGCGAATAATGTCGACTTGGAGTCCTCGAGGATGAAGACCCAGTAGCCCACCCAGTAGGTACCAAATAAGTAACAAACACGCTCAGTAATCTCCCGATCGCGGGAAGCCTTCAACGGGCTAGGTCCGTTCAATCTGGGTAATAACTTCCCAAAATGAGCGATATTTTTTTCTGCATAATCGTTATTGTGAAAACAATGACTCAACCAACGAGCAGTCGGCAGCATTTATATTTCCCGTCCTCATCCAATACTTCTAAACACATTTATAACTATTTTCACACGTTTATTAAGCTGGACGATTCGTGTTAAAGCTAGCAGAAGTATAGAAACTCGTGAAGCCTAAAAGCGTATGGTTCTCGGTGATGTACTAAAGAGGCAGTCGTGGACTGAGCGAGATTGTGAAATGTAGTCGGACATTAGTTCGACACCAAAAACTGCGCCCTTTCTTTCCTCCATGGTGCGGGTACATTTGACAACTAAATCTGACTTGGCAGCACGAAAAAAAACACCAGAGTACAATCATCCGATTCACAGCTCGCCTATAAAGCGTTTTAGGCACATAGTAACAACCAGTGACACATGAGAATGGCAATTCAGCTGCTGCAAGCATTCGTTCACAGTGTTCCCAGCACCCGCGCCCGCTGTGACCGGACGGCGCCCGCAGTGTCAGAGGACGGCGCCCGCAGTGTCAGAGGACGGCGCCCGCTGTGTCAGAGGACGGCGCCCGCTGTGTCAAAGGACGGCGCCCGCGGTGTCAGAGGACGCCCTCAGGACAGCGGAGCGCCCCCTGTGACCGAGAGCTGCAGTGCGGCGCGGCAGGTGGAGCCGCGGTGTCCCGCAGAGCCTCCGCCGCCGCTCGGTCTGACCTATGGCGGAGCGTCTAACCGCGGACCAGTGCCAGCAGCGCGTTCTTGTACGCTCCGGATGTCTCCCGCTGGGAACAGAGAGCATCCGGTGTCGAGGTTACCAGAGTCATAACAGAGGTCACATCACATACAGGGTGAACGGTCAGAAAGAAATCACAGGAGGTGGGTTGAACGCTACAAAGCTTTTAATGCTTTTAAAGCGTAAAAGCGTTTAACCTAAACGCCTGTATATAATACAGTGTATAAAGAGCGACTATCTTTCCGTACATCTCATCCCCTGACATCAAACTGTTCTCCACTTCCCGTCCTCCGCATTCTCCCGTTTCCTCCAAAGCCGCGGGCCCGGACTGTGCCGTCTCACCTCGATGGAGTGGTCGAGCGTCTTTCCGTACTTCTCCAGGTACTTGGCCTTGATGGCGCCCAGGTCGAGCTCACTGCGTGACACCACGATCCGGATCAGCGTCTTGTCGTCGGTGCCGGCGCCCTGCATGCTGTCGTACAGACAGTCGGCGTAGTACTCCACCTTGTCCTTGGCCACCGCCACTGCACGGAAACACAAACAAACCGACTCGGGTTAGTGAAGTGAAGACGTAGACAGGTAGGTGCGAGGACGCTGCGCATTTGGAATACGGGCGCAACAAGTGGGTGGCATAATGTAAGACGAATATCTAAGGTACCGCTTATAAATTTGTCGTTACTGACAAGAATATAAGTAATTTCTCCCTTCTTTTGATTTGTTTTATCGGTAACGAGTAACTAATAACTTTGGACTATCGTCTATCTGTGTACGCCATTCCGACCAGCAGGGTAGTTAGTACGGCAACTCACGCAGAATAAGCAGGGCCTTCTGGAAGCTGCCACTGAGCTCACTCTTGATGGCCTCCTGCAGCGTCCTGCCGGTCAGCGTGATGGTCAGCGTGATGGTCAGCGTGATGGTCAGCGTCGGACACGGTGAGCGCACAAGACACGAGCGTATGCACACTTACAGACATAACTCTCGCCCCGTTGGGGGGGGGGGGGGCATTTTGGCCCCCCCTGTGGTTTTTCCTGAATAGCAAGAAAACGGCGGCGCACAGCGCCGCCAAATTTTCAGTACCTTCCCGGGCATCAATTTGACACCTTCACAACAAATTTCAAATCTTAGTTCACCTTAGGTCAGGAGTTATTGAGGTCAAACTGAGGTCATGTTCGAGCAAAAATGAGCAAAAAACATGCAATCTTGAAACGCTCACCAAATCTACAGTTATCAAGCAATTTCAAAGTTCTTTATATGGTCTAGTAGACAAAAAAAGCGCTACAAAACTATTGTCTCGGATTTTCAAAATTTTGGGTTTTTGACCCCAAAAACTCAAAAAAATGATTTTTTAGAAAAAACTAAAAAAAAAATCCAAAATTTTTCCGAATTTAGAAAAAAACGGAATATATTTGAGAGTCCCTGCACTCTTCTATATACATACCAAATTTCAGATCGATATCTCGTTTTTTGGCCAAGTTATAGCGAAAAAACTGTTCAAAAATGATGACGTCAAATTTTTTAACTCAATTTTTAGCGATTCTAGACCACGTACGGCAAAACAAAGACCACCATTGAACTCCCCGTGATGAGCTGCATCGATTCGGTACCCATTTTATGCAAAAATATTAACTTTGAAATTTGACCTAATTTGACCTGACCTTGTCCTGACCTTGACCTGACCTTGACCAAAACGTGACCTAAGCTGGCCCCAAAGGCTGCCTGACCCACATAATCGCATTTGTAATGTAAAATGGGCCATAAAACATGCATCACACGACACTTTCATATTGTGACCCCCCAGTGACCTGACCTCTGTGACCTGACCTGGTATCAGTGACCTCAAATAGCAAAATATGTGTTTGAAGAACATTTCCCCATCGATGATTTTCAATGAAATGCATTTTACTCGATTTTACAACGCATTTCTTGAAATGCCTGTAAACGGTGAAAATTCGACCTTTGACCTGACCTGTGACGTCATCGGTTTGACCTGGGTCAATAAAATTGGGTCACAAGGTAGTTCCCTGATAGGGCTATCCAACACCGTTTACCGCTTGTCGCTAGGTTGCGTGGTTCTCGAGATCTTAGGGGGGCAAAATGCCCCCCTCCCCCCCAACGGGGCGCGTTGCTCGGCAGAGCCCAACGGGGCGCGGGATAAGACAAACACTCAATTAGGGCACTATATTTGGCGGTATGTGAGCAAACATTCCCATTGGCCATTACGGATGCAGTCCCGTGCTCTTTAATTTGTCGTAGCGGAGCGGATATTCGAACTGTCGGCCGTTGGTACCCGTCTTACTTTTTCGAGATTGCCTCGTACTCCTTCTCGATCGCCAGAAGCTGAGGTAGGCTCTCGCTGGCAAAGATATTCCGGAACGCTTCTTCGTTGGTGCCCAGCTTCTTCTCGCCTGAACAAGAGCGAAAAAACGAGTGAAAGGTTTTGGGGAGGTCATAAGAACTAGCAAGGGGCAAGTCACAGAAGTGACAGTACCTAGTACTGCAGTATGAATTATTGAACAAAGCGTTCGATGCATCTTCAGTATCGATTTGCATATCCCAATTCTCAGGAAAATATTTGTTGTTAAAGGCGTCCCGTGTCATAAAGTCCACCGCTGTGACGCACCGGCCTTGTAGAGGTCCTGGGCCTGCTGCTTGGCCTTCTGCTGGTCGACGCGGTCCGTCTCGTCCCTGCTGCCGCTGAGGATCGACACCAGCAGCTTCTCGATGTCGCCCTTCATGCCCTTGCGCACCGCCTCGTCCAGCGTCGAGTGGCACTCTGAGGAGCACGGGGTACCGAGAGACCTTTACATTACAGTGCTACAACCACCAACCGTCAGCTACAGAGCAAAATGAGGATGAAAGACAAGGGCGTTCCAGAAGAAAGGCCTAGAAACGTTCCAGCGAACGGTAGAATAGCGGTAAAGGCAGCCAATGGGAATACTAAAGGAGCGTCCAAAAAAAAACCCCAGGCCACGAGCCGAGACTTGACACTAAATTTTTCATCTTATCCTAACTATTCGAGTTCAGCCATCGAGGTCCGCTCGACTCCGCCCCGGCAGGCGCCACCTCAGTCTCCCGACCGTGCCCGGTCACCCGTCCACTCACTCTTGGAGTAGGTGTCCTGCAGCAGGTGCATTTCGGCGTTGTTGCGGGTCAGGATGATGTCCAGCACCACCTTCTCCTTGGTGGACATGCCCTTGAAGGCGCTCTGCAGCTCGCGCGCCAGGTACTCGAAGTAGGAGTAGGTGAGGGCCATCATGATGGTCTCCAGGTCTCCGCCGAGCTCCTTCTTCAGGTCCTCGGCCAGGTCCTGCGGGACAGGAACGCGGGTCAGAGGGAGGGGACAGGAGTGTGTGTGTGTGTGTGTGGGGGGGGGGGGGTCAGAGGTTGGAGGCTGGAGCAGGAGGCAGCGAGGGGCGCGTGTGTTTGTCGTAAACAATATGAGCTCGTACTCGGTTCCGAGCGTTATCTCATATCCGGATGGAAAGTAAACGACATTAACTCTGCTGACTGGACGTAAGCTCGGCAATAAAGTCGTTGCGAATTAAAACACGATTCAACGTTTCGTCATCAGTATAAACCTTAAACTGATTATTTAGGAACATATTTGTGTTATGAAGTTATCGGTGGAGCCAACAAATAACTAAATGCACATACTTTTATTGTAAAAGTATGTGCATTTAGTTATTTGTTGGCTCCACCGCTCCACTGATAACCTCATAACACAAAAAAGCCTTAAACACACCACTTAACCTTCATTTGCTTCGCATTAGTTAACTGCTATTACTATTCGTGTAACAAACAACGCCGCTCCTCTAAATACATGTCTATTGATACGCACCTTGCCGTACTCCCGCTTGTAGCACTCGGCAATCTGCACGCGCTGCTTGATGCACCGTTTGGAGAGGATGGCCACGATGGGGCCCTCGTCGCAGCCCATTCCCTTCATCGCCTTCCTGAGATCAGGCCAGACATAGTGTGGGTCATAATGTTAGGGCCAAGTAAAGCTGCATATACCACGACACGGTGTATTGTGCTTCCAGCGACCGAAGACCAAGCACGGACACGGCGACCCGCCGACTGACCCAGTTCGGTCACGGTCGCGCCCTTATATAACCACGGCACAGAGCGCATGCGCGGTGACCGCGCGGCGGTCAGGCGGCTCGCCGGCCGGACGGCCGGGCCGCCGACCCACCCTGTTCCACGGCCCCACACGGCCGGTCCGCGGTCACAATATCCCAACACTCCTCCCCCCATAAAAGAAACGTTTCCACTTGGTCAAGTAACAAAGAAACGCGACACACTACGCAACCGGAACGCGACCGGAAATACAAACTGATTCAGACACTGGTGATGCACATCGAGAGCATCCGAGGCCTAGGATTGAAAACGATCTGGGGGGAGCGACACTCTGCCAGACCTGGTCACATACGCGCCCCGCACAGATGTACCCCCATTCCCCACCTGATCTCGGGCCCGCCGGCAGAGGTAGTACAACGCCAGTGGATCCGGTCCAGTCTCCTCGGACCCCGTCTGCTTCCTGGGACGCGTTTCTGTGGCTGTGTCCGATGCGTCGTCCCTCCGGGTGCTTCCAGACGTTTCCTGTTTGTGGGACTCCCGTTCCACAGCTGGCTTTAGCTGGTTGAAGTGCAGAGCCTTTTCCTTGCCCTTGTCGTCACGGACGAGGTACGTTACTGCTCTCTCTCCTCCGAGGCGGCCGATGATGGTGCCCGGGCCTTTGTAGTACAGTCCCAGCTTCGGCTTCCCGCCGACCGAGACCCTATTATCCCGAATCCATACCCGGTCACCAGCCTCGAACCCTTTTCCGCTCGCGCGCTGGTTGAATCGGGTCGCAGCCTCCGTAGCACTGGCCCGGGTTTTCCTGATAGTCGTCTGATAAGCCTCTGAAATGGCCTTTAGACGCTCTTCAAGGTAGCACCGGATGTTTACCGCCCGATCCGGAGGGTTGATGACCGCATCGAGTGGCGTTTTCGGGTGGAATCCGTGCAGCAGAAAGAACGGGGAATATCCGGTGACGCTGTGCACAGAGGTGTTGTAAGCCATGCAGTACGCCTTGATGTCAGCGTCCCAGTTCGCTCCTTGAGGGTCAACGTATTTGGCGACCATGTCCTTGAGTGTTCTCATAAAACGCTCTACCATACCATCACTCTCAGGGTGATAGGGCGTTGTACGCGTTTTCTGGATGCCCAGTCGCTTGCACATGCACTGGAACAATGCAGACTCAAATTGGCCTCCTTGGTCCGAGTGAATCCTGTCTGGCACCCCCATGTCGTAAACCCAATCCAACAGCACCGTGGTTACGGTTTCGGCATCCTGCCGTCTGACTGGGTACACTCGGACGTATTTAGAAAAATAGTCCATGATGACTACTGCATATCGGTTGCCATTCCCCGACACCGGCATCTCAGTGATGTCAATCGCAATTCTGCGGAATGGTTGACTCGTGACCTCCGTCACCAGAGGAGCCCGTTTCTTCGGTGCAGGGCGATGGCGCCGTTGGCAAAGGTCACACGTGCTGCAGTACCGACGGATGTCCGCGAACATGCCGGGCCAGAGGAAGCGCTGTCGCACTCTTTCCGTTGTTCGACTCCGTCCCAAGTGTGCGGACGTCGGATGGTCATGGGCGAGCGTCATGATTCTTGATCGCATCGAATCGGGGACCAGGGCCCGGAAGCCCCACTTCGTCCTCATGCCGAGAACGCCCTCCCGCACTTCGAGCTGCGTCCAGCTCCCACGCAGTAGCTCCCACTCGGCGAGAGGGTGATCGGGCGGTGGTTCCCGACTGCCCAGACAGGCGTTCCGCATGACACTGAGGACCTCGTCCTCTTGTTGCGCCGTCTGCAACTCCGATTGTCCTGGTGCTTCAGTGATTAGGCGTCCCGCCTGGTCACCCTTCGCACTAGGTGGCGCAGTAGGCAGTGCGCAGACTTGGTCAGGTTCTGCTGCGCCTCGAGTCTTCCCCACACATGCCTCCTCTTCACCAGAAGCAGGTTCTTGGGCTCTTGTAGCTGCGGTATGCACGGGTGCTTGACCGGCTTCGGCGGGACAAGACTTGCTGCGCTTGCCCGTCCAGATATTGCCGTTGACTGGTCGCTGCCGGGACATCGCGTCGGCATTGCCGTGATCACGGCCCGGCCGGACAACCACCCGGAACTGGTAAGAGCTCAGCTCGATGGCCCACCGGCCACGTCTTCCCGTCCCGTCACGTTCCACATTGATGGACTCCGGTACACCCGTGAGTGGTTTGTGATCGGTCACGACTTCGAATTCTGCTCCAACTGTGTACTGGTTGAATCGCCGGATGGCGTGAACGATGGCCCAGAGTTCTTTATCATATGTTGGCCATCTGCGCTGTTGCTTTGTCAGCACCTTACTGTCGTAGGCGATGACTCTCTCCGTGTCACCCACCCGCTCCGCCAGCACTGAACCGACTGCAGAGTCGGATGCATCCGTGTACAAGACGAATGTACCACGGAACGTAGGGAGGGCTAGCACTGGAGGTGCAGTCAGCGCCTGCTTCAGACTCTCAAAAGCTGCTTCAGCTTCCGGCGTCCACGTCAGGTGGTCACCCACCACCTTGGCTTCCCTCAGCGGCTTCGTGAGATCCATGTATTGTGGGACAAAACGGCTGTAATATCCGCACAATCCGAGGAAGCTCTTCATGCCATCTTCCTTCTTCGGTGGAGCCCAGTCGAGTATCTTTTGGATGTTATGTGGGTCCGGTAGGAGTCCCTCCTTTGCGACCCGGTGACCGAGGAACGTAACTTCGCGCTTTGCGAAGCGGCACTTTTCTGGTTTGAGCTTCAGCTTCGCCGACCTCACTCGCTTGAAGACATCACGGAGCGTTGCGATGTGCTCGTCCTCGGATCTGCTTGATATGATGATGTCATCAAGGTAGACTAAACAGCGTTTCGAGTCCAGACCCGCAAGCACCAGTTCCATGAGTCGCTGGAATGTGGCTCCAGCATTTTTGAGACCCATGGCCATCACCCTGAACTGATGGAGTCCTTTGCCCGTGGAGAACGCCGTCTTTTCTCGGTCCTCTGTGGCCAGCGGGACCTGCCAGTAACCGGTCGCCATGTCGAGCGTCGTGTACCACGTCGCCCCCGCTAGGGTATCCAACGCCTCGTCGACCCTCGGCAGAGGATGCGCACATCCGCGAGTTCGGCTGTTGATCGCGCGGAGATCGACGCAGAAGCGGAAACTTCCATCTTTCTTTCTGGCCAGGACGACTGGGGAGCACCAAGGACTTGTACTCTCTTCAATTATTCCATCTTTCATCATCTGCGTCTTCTGCATCTCGACTTGCTCACGGAGTTTAACTGGTACCCGCCGTGGTCTCTGCTTCACGGGAGCCTCCTCCCCTGTGTCGATGTGGTGTTCGAGCAAATCTGTCTTGCCGATATCACCCGCATACTGACTGAAGATGTCTGCATATTCGCTGAGAATGGTTCTGAGCTTCTCCTTTCCTGCCGCTGAGAAGTCAGATCCGTCCACATCAAGTACTTCTGTCACCGTCGTATTCTGACGCCTTTCTGTTCTGCAGCTCACATCATCAACGTCATCATCATCACTGTCCTCAACGCCTCCGTCTGCAGCCAGGCACAACTTGTACTCGCAGTCCTTCTCGTTTGTAGCATCATAAAATGTCCCTAGGTCACTGCCTCTGAGAACACGGACTTCTTCAGACCCAACATTCGTCAAAATGATCGAGACGCACCCGTCGTCGTCTGCAACGACCAGAGCCCTTGGAGTCAGGAGTCCCTCCCGCTCCGCTACGGTTGATGGCTCGAATATCCCGGCTGCACCCATTTCATCACTCTGCACGCCGTCCACTCTCTCCAGCTTACCGGCTACCACGCTCTCTGACCGTGCTGGAATGACGACGGTCGACAGTAATCGCACTCGCGCACGTCTTGGTCGAACCTGCTCCCGGCTCGGCAGGGGAACGCTCATGGTTCCAATCTTGAATGAGCCAGCGTCGTCGTCAATGACCGTGCGATGCATGCACGTGAAGTCGCGACCTAGTATCACGTCGTACACGAGGTCGTCTGCCACGGTCACTACCGGGCATCGGAAGCTGACTCCATCAATGCATAATGAGAGGTTTTCCAACTCACCAACTACCTGGAGGGAGGTACCTCCCGCTCCGATAGCATTGCGTGCGCTCGGGCTGAGCCGGATTGCTCTTAGTGCTGGGTTCCCCTCATAAAATCCTCTTCGCATCATGGTGAAGTCGGCACCAGTGTCCACCAGCGCCCATGTCGGAGCGCCGTGAATGACGACCCGAACGGCCGACGCCGTGAGTGGGGACGCTTTCGAGAGGACTGGGACCTGTCCCACGGCTCCAGTCCGGCTCAGTTTTCCTGATGCGCACCGGCGCCCCGCCGGGGATCAGCAGCTCTTGTCTCGGAGTGGCCTCCGCCAGCGCTGCCACCCTGGAAGTATTGGCACCCCGCCATCCAGTGGCCCTGCTGCCCACAACATAAGCAGAGCGGCAGCGCGCGCCCATCCCTCGTCGACGGCAATGAAATGGGGCAGTGTCGCTTGAGGTGACCCAATTCTCCACAGCCGAAGCATCTGACGCTAGGTGAACCACGGCTACGCTCGGGGCAGTCTCGCTGAAAATGACCCGGCTGCTCGCAGCGGTAGCACCGGGGAAGTCGGCGAGACTTACTCGCATCAGTTGTCGTCTTCGGCGCCATTGTGATGGCCGATATCGACTCGTGTAGCCCGCGAATATGATCTTCGATGGCTGTGAGCCGGTTGTTGTCCGTCACAGTCTTTTCTGCTTGACCCACGGTTGCTTCACCCCCGACCGGGCGGACCGCCCCGATGACGTCGCCCTCGCGATTTCGCACCGCCTTGATCGTCTTCTTCGTCTCCTCGAATTCTTTACTAACGCGTACCGCGTCAGCCAGAGTGGATACGTTTTGGTTGATTAACCTCTCTTGCAATTGCGTGTCACGGAGGCCACAGATGAATCGGCCGCACTGGAATCCCTCCATAGCGCTGTGGTCGCTGGGCAGAGCCGGCTGGGCTAGCCCACTCAACTCTCTGATCCTGGCTGAGAAGTCTTCAACAGACTCCGAAGGTGCCTGGCAAACTCGGTTGAGTTCGGCGTGAGCCTGCAACGTGCTTATTTGCCGACCGAAACGACTTTTTAGTGCTTCAACCACCCTGCCGTAGTCCTTCCGTGACTCTTCGGTGAGTGACGCGAATGTGTCCAGTGCGGCTCCGTCCAAAAGACCCACCATAGCCGCCAGCCGGTCCCCGGCTTTCATGCTCGCCGTCTGAGCTTCGAATCGGCAGAACCATTTCTGCCACACTTCCCCCGACTCTCCACTAAATTTCGAGGCTCTTGAAAGGAAAATGGTAGATAAATCCATAGTTTGTTATACTGAACTCTACTGGAGAGAACCTCTCATCACCCAAAGTCTCTACTCACCGGCTCCGTCCACCTTTTCCACCGTGAGCTTGCGTAGGCCGTCACAGAAGTCTCACAGCAATCTTCTTTCTTAAAAACTCATATGCAGCCCATTTACGTTATTGGTCCTACCGACCGCGCCAAAATATGTTAGGGCCAAGTAAAGCTGCATATACCACGACACGGTGTATTGTGCTTCCAGCGACCGAAGACCAAGCACGGACACGGCGACCCGCCGACTGACCCAGTTCGGTCACGGTCGCGCCCTTATATAACCACGGCACAGAGCGCATGCGCGGTGACCGCGCGGCGGTCAGGCGGCTCGCCGGCCGGACGGCCGGGCCGCCGACCCACCCTGTTCCACGGCCCCACACGGCCGGTCCGCGGTCACAATATCCCAACAATAATACTATAGAACATATAGACATATAGACATTAGCGTCGCCACGGGGGGGGGGGGGCAAGCGGGGCAGCTTGCCCCCCCCCCCCAACCTCGGACCGGGCACCCCCTGAGATCGATGCAGATCCGATGAGATTTTGGAGTAGGGGGAAAATGGGGGTACCTTTCTGAGAATGCCTGTGAGGTCAGACTCGGGTGGAGCGTGCAGTTCAAACCAGAGTCTGACTCGCAGTCGCCAAAATCTTCAAGACTCCGAGTCCAGACTCGGAAATGTCAATGCTGTGACTCATTCCATGTTCCTAGTTCGTTCTTTATTACATTTTACAGCTGATTTTCACGAGTTTTGGAGTGCTGACACAATTTTCGTTCAAAGCGTGAAACGAAACCTTCGGGGCCTTTCTCAACTCTCGTCAAATGTCTGCGACAGGCTCAAGTACCGTACAAGTGTCACATGGCTGATGAGCTTGTTTTAAACAAAGGCTCCTAAGGAGCTCCACTGGACCCTAAAGAAGCTTTCAGAGGGCCCAAACCGGCCTCTGAAAGTCCCACTGGTGTCCATGTTCTCTGAGGGCCCATATTGGGATCTTTGAGCCTTCGAGCATTTCTGAGAACCTTAACTGGCCTCTGATAGTTCAGCCAAACCTTTGAGGCGACAGACTTTGCTAACCCCAAGCCGGCATCTGAGGGGTCACAGCTCACGTGTCCCTCTGAGGTCCGCAACACATGTTTATTATGTCCCTACGTAGGGTCCTTAGGGATTCGACACAGACCCCGAGGGTTCATACTGCTATCTGAGGGCTCCAGGCTCACCCTGGGCCTAGTCTATTAGCGCCCGCCGCCCACACTGGCTTCTGAGGGCCCCACCATGGGCTCGGAAAGCCCTAAAACACCACGTACACGTAAATATTTGAGGTGACCCACGCCGATCTCCGGGATCCTAAGCATGCTTCTGAGAGTCAGCACTGACCCTGAGTGGCCTGAAATGGCCTGGAAGTCCCAAACCTATCTCTAAGGGATCCCTTGCCGCTATGCCGTGCGTAACTTTTGGTTCCGTTTAACAGTTTTTGTTCGCGTTTTCAGCGCTTCCCTTCACACGAAAAACGAGAAACTTTTGTTCACACTCGAGTGAACAAAATGCTTCCTCTCATTGGAACAAAGATGAATTACTTCCGATTCACACTTCCGACATTCACTCTCCGCCGAATGCCCAACTTAGCTACGATCGGCGGTTGGGATAAGTCCTATGCATTTCACGTAAAACCTCTGCATGCATGCGTGAATGGAGGTTTTAGCAGGGTGATCCGATTAAATGGAGCGTTTTTCACCTTTTTCTGGGTAATGCTCATGAGCGTCGAGCGTCTGCACAGGGGCCCTCTGCAGTGCGTCGGCAATCGCAGCCACTGTATACTATAATTCTACCAGTCGTTTTTGTCATGAAATTTCAAAATTTCGAATTTTTCTGTGAAAAAATAAATTACATGTCACCTCTAGAAAGAAACCTTTGTCACCATCGGATTCCTCGCACCATTGGGCGTCGAATGATATGTAAAACGAGTGAGTAAAGACAGGGGAAAGGCAAGTTTTAACACAAAAGTTGATTTTGCCCCCCCCCCCCAACCGAAAATCTCTGGCGACGCCTATGCATATAGAACGTGACAGTTTCGCTACATCTTGGCCAAATAATTGCCTAGATATCAACGGAAACTATTCCACGCCTCTGATTTAAACAATTTACTTATTCAATTTTAGGTGATTTAATTATGCATGCTGCTTTGTCCTTTCCGTCAAGCTCAACGCTAACACCAAGAGCTGCAAAGCTCATTCGCGCTTTAAGCGGGCGGCTCGGGCTGAAGTCGCTCAACACAACAAATGCTCCGGCCTCACTTGATGGCGGCGGCATCCTCCTCCGGGTTGAAGCCCTCGTGCGGTGTGACGGTCGGAAAGTACTGCAAAACACACGGGAATCAGATGTAAATCGTCACAGAATATCTCGTGTCGGGAGACAGACGGGATCTGAAATACCTGAACTTAAACACGGGAACAATATATGGGAATCCTCTATAAGCACATTAATCATTCATCAATAGGCTGCATATCGAAAGCTCGATGTAAAATTGTTTTTAACTGTGTGACTGTGACTGCATCTAACCTACACATTCCTAATCACACTCGTTGAGTACGAAGACGATAATATGTTTTTTTTTCGGTCCCGTGAGATTTGTCAAGTGAATCCGTCCCCTCCCCCGTCGGCAGGCCGTTCGTCGCAGCCGTTGTCACGTGCCAGACAGCTGACTGCCCCCCCCCCACTGAGGTCTCCTGGGCGGGGGGGGGGGTTGGCAGAGGGAAGATGCTCCGGCTCGGTGCCTGGTGGGTTCAGAGAAAAACCGGGCTGACCCGGTAGCAGGAGGGGTGGAGGGCGCAAAAACTGGCGCTGGGCGGACGGGCGCGGTGTAGGGCAGAGTCGGTAGCGGTACTGACGGTGGTGAGCAGCTTACGAAAGAAGGAGAATGAGAGAGAGAGAGAGAGAGAGAGAGAGAGAGAGAGAGAGAGAGAGAGAGAGAGAGAGAGAGAGAGAGAGAGAGAGAGAGAGAGAGAGAGAGAGAGAGAGAGAGAGAGAGAAGGAAGAGAGGCAGTGAGATAGAGACAGAGGCAGAGATGAAGAGCGAGCGAGAAATTCGGTTATTGGCCCCTTCTCCGTTTATAACCAAGTGGCTTTAAAGCAGTTTAAATCCGAAGCCGAGCTCGAGCAATTGCCCGAGCAACAAACCACTCGGGCAACACCGTAGTCAATCGTTCGTGTAGAAGAGCAGCTGCTGCTGCCTACCGTTCCCCTGATCGGCCGCCGACCTCCAGTCTCCGGCCGGGGTCTGAGGAAGCGGTTCCCGCGGTAGCCGCCGGCTCTGTTTGTAGGGTAAACATCTCTCACCACCAGCCGCCTCTGAGACCGGCGGCGCCCTACCACCGCCGCCGCCGGCCCCGGCTGCAGGCGCCGCTCGCGCGCGGCCGTCCACCCCATGGTGTGACCGTGACGACAATGTGGGCGGAGCTGGCCGCTGGCTGCCGGTCAGCCCTGGGTTAGGTGCCAAATTCAAGCTGAGCCTGTGTAGTTTCTGTGTAGGCCCAAGTCTCTGTGTGTAGTTGTATAGACTTGCCCCAGTAACCGTCGCTAAGATGATGGTGGTAAATCAATATATGAACACAATCATCCCAGTGGTAAGACGGTTGCTATGTCGTCAGAGCCTGAGACGGCAAACATTCCAGCTGGAAGACGGGCTGGTCACCACACAGATGACGTGTTTCTCGGTCAGCTGACTAATGACGTCACGTGTCTGACCAGCTGACGCGGTGAAATCATAGAGCGTGACGTGTCTGACCGCCCACGGGCCTACTAATTCAGCACTGTATAAAACGGAAAAGAGGGACTGTGATTAGCCGCTAAAACACCATTCATTCGGGTATGAATGGTGTTTAAGTCAGAGTTTGACATAAAAAAGAAAGACTAACTTGATCATTTTTTAAGCTGAACTTATTTTTGGGAGACAGCTTCTGCAGGTATCCACCGGATGACTGCAAAAGAAACATGTCCAGCTCTTGTTGAGCCTGGGTGAAGTAAAACCCCCGGGTATACGGGCGAAGAGAAGGGATCAGGGAGACCGGGAAGGGGAGTGGGGAGTGGGGGGGGGGGCGATAACAGGGTCGGCGTCGGGACCGATTTGTGTGGAGACGGCTTACACCGCGGCGTAACTGGCTTAGAGCGGCTCAGCGGCGGCGGCGCCGGGCCTGAGGCGACTCGTGAAGCCAGCGGACGGCGGTGGAGGAGAGTGGGGGGTCAGTGGAGCCAGCCCTCCGCACCCCTCACAGCCCTCTGCAACCAGCTCACCCCTCTGCACCTAGCGCACCCAAAACACCCGGCGCTTCTGCACTCCACTTCCGCCCCGGACCGAATAGGGCCGCTGTGAAGTAACGGGAGAGTGCGACCCCGAGTCTGTTCAAGCTGCTGTGAGGCGAAGGTATGGCATCTGTATAGCCAGAGTCCGTTTAAATTGCTGTGAGGTGAGGCGGCCAATGTGCGTGTTCGATCACCAGACAGGCCATAGTTTCAGCGCCGGGCGTAAAACACCGGCTCTGGGTTTGGCCGGCGGGCCGTCCCTCGATCGACCGTATAGCGCAGACTCGATCAATGTGTGCGGGCGGACGGTGGCGGGTCCTCGAACTGGAGCTCACGAGCCGGGTCAGTCCTACTAGCAGCTACCTCCACCCACTCAGTGGTCAGTCGGTCATACTGGGGCAGACAGACTGCTGACCAGTGATAACTGATAACAGCGGCCGAGGCCCGAGTGTCAGCAGACGTGATCTCAGCGGCAATAAACAGCATGATTCACCAGCTGATGAAGCGATCATGCTCTGGGCTCTGAGGTCTGCGGTTACCAGCATGTAGGTATGTAGGTATTGTAGCATGTTATATTGCAGGCTTAGAACAGTGCGCATTGTGATTGATACGATGGGGTAACTGGCTCGACGCATTGGCCTTCGAAGATATATGTCTTCGAAGGCCTGAACTGAAACATATATGAAACATATATGAACTGAAACATCGAACTCAAACATATATGTTTCAGTTTTCCCTTGATTGTGACGAGTGCGCCGCCTCGATAATTGTGCATCACATACCGAGCCGATCCCCGCCTCTTGGACTCTCTGAGCACCACCGTTCCAGCGGACCGTCTTTCGCCGAGGGCGGTGGCAGAGAGAAACTGCTCGTGGGTCGACCGACGCCCGCCCAGCCTTGGGAACCACTCCAGGGGTGACCGACCCGCCGACACTCCAGGTGTGGTCTCGGACCATACGGAACTGCCCGCAGACATCAGGGGTGGATGACCCTCCCCAGGCGTGGTCCTGGATCGGGCCAGACCGCTACCCGGCTCCACGAGTAACGGAGCTGTGCCTTCAGAGCCATGGATGTGTCCGTCTTTCGACTTCGGTACGTCATGGTTTTATATCAAAATTAGCTTTCGATTTATCGAACTGTTTATTTATCAGATAAAGCGTCCCATCACGCCTGACGGCGAAAATAAAATAAATCGTCAAATTTACTTGACTGCGAGCGCCGAGCGTGTCCAATATATCTATACGGTCCAAAAGACTTGTTACAGGCCACCGGTTATTGACCAGAGTATCGGAGCTTCACCCTAGCTACCCCTTTTTGTAACCTCGGACGACTCCCACCTGCTGTCTGTGCCGCACCGGTCCGTGAGTGGGTCGGCCACCCCTGGACATTGCAGTACGATCACCTGACGGAGGGGTGGTCCGGACGGTTCGGCCCGGCCGGGGGGCGGGGCGCTCGGCTCGGGGGGCGGGAAGGCGGCGGGACAGGAACCCAGCGCCGGCCGGTGCTGGGCTCAGCTGGGACCCAGACAGCTGGGCCCCATAGGGAAGGCATGTGAGTTGTCGCTCAGTGCAGGAGAGAATAGCTGTGGAGGCGAGCGGGTCATGAAGAAGGCTCCAGAGCGTTTTTTATATGTGGGAAAATGGTTTTGACTGGCTACCTATAGCTACCTCGATAATTGTTTGTGCACACTTTTCAGTTTTATTTAGTTGGAATGTAAGCGATTTGGACCTAATCTCTTACCTACAAGTAAGTAGCAAATGCTGCAAATGCTGCAACTGGGCTATAACGCCTAAAGTGGCCGCCGTACCAGGCCGACGGCTCCCGGTTTCGACAGCGGCGGCAGCACGCTGCACGCACCGCCGCGCGGCTACTGTGCACCGAAAACCGGCTCCGGGGGGGGGGGGGGGGGAGGGTCGACGTCACCGTCTGTCCGTGTCGGGGAGGGGGTGTATCGCCATCGGAGGTGGGGGCGGGCTGACTGAAACAACAGTGGACTGATGGCCGATTGTCAGGTAAATATACCCTGCACGTACAATGACTATTGACTCATTCAGGCTAAGGTATCAAAATAACAAATCAAGCTGCACTATCAGGATTCGTTATATAAGCAATGCATATGCCAATCGCCAATCGACAGATGGCATTCGATATTGGTATGGCGCTCTGTGGCTAGTGTCGGTGCGTTTCAGCAGGGCGCTGCACCAAAGTTAGTTATCCCAGCGGCGTGCCAACCCATTTGTGCCTCACGGGGCTGTATGCCGCCCTCTGAGGGAGCCGAAATACGATACGACAGCACGGGATCACTGACGACGTGCCTGCGCGTTAGAGCCGTCTGAACAGGTGCTGCTGAAAGCACGGCGTGCATTGAAAACCCGCCCGGATGACTGTGGAGGACCTACGCTGGACGTGTTTTTCACACGCGCTCACAGGTCGGCAGCAGGTAGGTATGTGGGACTGAGGCACCCCATATACCTGCCGCGCGCCACGGACCGCCGCCCCAGGCCGGGACAGGCGGAGTCTGCCCATCGCCAGCGGCGCGGCCTTTCGCTGAACGCGGCGTGGCGCAGACCGCACCCGGCGACAGCGCCGTCCGTGACCCCTGGTGACCCCTGGTGACCCCGGCGGCCGCCGCGCCGGGTCAGGGGGAGTGGGGCACGCACCGCCCGACCCCGCTAATACCGCCCACAGGGCACGGGGGTGTGGGCGTGGCGGCGGAGTCCGAATTGCCGATCGATTCTGGCGTGGTTCCAGGGAGTGCCCGGCCAGCGCCCCCTGGACCGGCGCGGCGGCCGACCCCGTCCGTGGTACCGGCACTGTGACCTTCGATGAGTCCTGGGTGTTAACCGACTTATACTGAATACTTTCTGCTCAGGGATTCATAACACAACTTTCAGCTGCATAAAAAGGCAGCACTGTCTACGTACTGCCGACACCGGCCAGCGGTCACACCTGGGCAAAAGGGTTACGCCCACACGTTGAAAACACCGAACACACCGTCAGACTATCACCCCATCGAGATATTCCGCTCCCGAGAGTCGGAATCTGCTGCCCGTTCAGCCGTTCGACCTGTACTTACCACCATGGCTGCTGTTTCAGTAGGAGCGCTGCTGTCGGACGGACTACGGGCGGCGTACGGACGGACGGACGGACGACTGGGCGCCGGCCGGCACCGCCGCGCCGCCTAGAGCTGGGCAGCGCGCCGGCTCCCAGTACCGGTACTTGCGGCGGCCCGCCGCGCTGGTCGGTCCGCCGACTGGGAGGGAGGGAGGCAGCGCATCGGCGGTGGAGTGTTCATAACAGGCTCCGACTCCCGGTAGCTATATGCAAGGCTCATTCGTACCATACCATACCACAACGAGAATTATTACCAAACCATAATGGGAGAGCTCGTTGTATACATAGGCATACAGGGTGTTTTTTTAAGTGTCATGGTATTTAACATCTCCCGTATCTAACTACCTACATATATGACTAACATCATATAAATTTTCTAGTTTTAGTTTTATTTCCGATATTTTAGTGGCGGAATCACAAGCTTCTCGGTGGTAAGGTTTTTAAACTTTTACCTTTGACCCTCCATCAAAAGTCAAGTTAGGGCTCACAGGTCATGATCATCCCCGACGGTCCAATAGGCGAGGAACACATAGACGGACTACGCTACCCAAGTACGAGTAGGTTCCATTTAGGAAACGATCAGACGAAAAGGGCACCGTGATGCGACACCCCGTCTTTTGACGCTAAATTTCGAAATCAAGATAAAGATTTAACCCTATTAGTGGCAGGCTCCTGGCTACCCCATATTAGTGGCAGGGGGGGCTGTTTACGACCCCCCTTGATATCTCGAGATCTAACCGGCCGATTTTCAAAATTCAAACGGCATTCGATTTGGCTCAACGTGATCTACATTTCTAAAAAAAATAAAATTAAAAAATGTCAATAGGGGGGTAGAGGGGGGTAAAAACGGGCAAATTGCAGATACATTTTAGACTGTTTATCACGGCCAGGTTTCTGAACCAATCTTAACGCAACTTTTGCCGATCGATAGAGAATGAACCAGGAATTCACATGGATCCTAAAAATATGCATTTTCAAAAATCATAGGCGGATACAGATCATTGAGATTGGGGGTACACAAAAAGTATAGTAAATAAGGTTTTTGTTGGTACTGTTTCTAAAAAGGGTGGCAATGGTCTTGTTATGTTACAATTTTCTTATGAGAGAACGACTAAAATTGTATTGGTCATGCATAGGCGGTGTCAGGGCACCTATGTTGGGAGGTAAAAAATAACCCCCCTTTTTGAGGATGCAGGAAGAGGATGCACAATAACTTTGTATATGTTATCACATGATACCTTTCATTCACTGTTCGTAAAACTGGTGCAGCATCGTGATCTTCGCCCAAATGACTCGCTTCACGAATAGGACCCCCAATTCCCAGTGCTCTGGAGCCGCCCCTGGTAAAGTTATGAACTTGAAATTTTCAGGGAATGTGCCCAATTTAGTTTTACGAAAAGTCAGAAAATTTCAGCATCGTAGCTTCAGCGGTTTCGGAGATATTCCCGAAAAACCTGAGGGGTGGATAAAAACAACCCCCCTGCCACTAATAGGGTTAGGTCAGGATTGAAGCTCGAAAAAGCTTCTCCTCACCGTAAGAAGTATTTTGGTATGTTAAACTTTGTGAAAGCCCTATCGTTGTGTTTTACGAATATCGATCTGAGCGCAAATGTGAATATCATTCAAGGTCATCGATAGGTCGGGACGAATATGAATCTGAATGTCGAAGAAGGTCATCGATATTCGAATGAACCTCAATGATGGACGTGGATGTTAACATGATGCAACCATACCCGCATTCCAAGTGCGCATTTCTCCCACCATATGGCGGTTACATTCGCGCCTGCAGGCGGGCTGTGCCGCAACGCTCTCAAAGTACTTGTTTCTCTCACTAGATGGCAGGAGTGATACGCGCCTGCAGCTAGGCTGTGCCGCAATGCTACCCAAGTATGCGTTTCTGCCACTAGATGACGTTAGTAGTAGCGACGCCTGCAGATAGACTGTGCCGCCAGACCGCGTAGTTTACATTCCCGTCACTAGATGTCACTGGTGTTGGGCGCCTGTGGATAGACTGTGCCGCCGGGCACTACTTAGTGTGGGCGGACGGGCGGGCGCAGCCGGCAGGCGGGGTAGGGAGTGGGGAGACGGAGTGAGGAGTGGGGAGATGGAGTGGGGAGTGGGGAGACGGAGTGGGGAGTGGGGAGACGGAGTGGGGAGTGGGGAGATGGAGTGGGGAGACGGAGTGGGGAGTGGGGAGATGGAGTGGGGAGTGGGGAGACGGAGTGGGGAGTGGGGAGACGGAGTGGGGAGTGGGGAGATGGAGTGGGGAGTGGGGAGACGGAGTGGGGAGTGGGGAGACAGAGTGGGGAGTGGGGAGACGGAGTGGGGAGTGGGGAGACGGAGTGGGGAGTGGGGAGACGGAGTGGGGAGTGGGGAGATGGAGTGGGGAGTGGGGAGGTGGAGTGGGGAGACGGAGTGGGGAGTGGGGAGACGGAGTGGGGAGTGGGGAGACGGAGTGGGGAGTGGGGAGATGGAGTGGGGAGACGGAGTGGGGAGTGGGGAGACGGAGTGGGGAGTGGGGAGATGGAGTGGGGAGTGGGGAGACGGAGTGGGGAGGGGGAAAGGGAGTGGGGAGTGGGGAGTGGGGGAGTGGGGAGTGGGGAGATGGAGTGGGGAGTGGGGAGACGGAGTGGGGAGTGGGGAGACGGAGTGGGGAGTGGGGAGATGGAGTGGGGAGTGGGGAGACGGAGTGGGGAGGGGGAAAGGGAGTGGGGAGTGGGGAGATGGAGTGGGGAGTGGGGAGACGGAGTGGGGAGTGGGGAGATGGAGTGGGGAGTGGGGAGTGGGGAGACGGAGTGGGGAGTGGGGAGTGGGGAGACGGAGTGGGGAGTGGGGAGTGGGGAGACGTGAGTCACTGAAAGTAAACACTGCATTGAAATTCATGGGTCTTACTCTGTATTTTGGGAGGTATCACACCAATTTCATTGCCGGCGGGTTTAGGGAGGGAGTTTTCATAACTGTTGATCATTGATGGTTTTATCAATGACCTAAAACTCTTCCCGTGTATCCACCTGTGTATTTCTATGATTCCTCATTACATTTTTGTAGTTGTTTTATTACCTACAAATTTAAAACCGCCTACAGTCATATTTGTTGTTTCAATGGACTAATAATACCTAAGGATCCCGATCATTTTGAAACGTATTTGGTGACTTGACCAAATATAATATATCTTTAGGTATCATTTGTTTTTCTGGTTTCTTTTTCTACAGATGCACATCCTCCATATCTAATTCTTTATGAATTAGCAGAATAAATGTAATGACATTTTCTCGTTTTCGTTTCAGTTTCATCGTTAGTTCTGTTTCATTACTGCCTCGTCGACGTACCGTTCCTAGCCAGCCCCTCCCTGTCCGGTTCCAGCCCCGTCCCGCCTGTTCCCTTCCCACTCAGTGACGTATCGTCCTTGTCCGCCTCTCTCCGCTGTGAGCCGCGGGTCGTGACTGCGGAGACGGACGGCGTAGGCGGCCGAGGGTGGGGCGGGAGCCACGGACGGGGGAGGGGTGCATTTATGACCGCCAAACCGGCTGTGCCAGCCCGCCGGCCGGCGCGGCGGCAGGGGGAGGGGCAGGGGTGCGGCGGCACGCGGGGTGATGTCATCACAGTGGCTGGCGGCTGCAATCCGGCAGATGGGGGGGGGGGGTGAGGGGACAACAGCGACTGGTCGGGACAGAGCAGTGGGAGCTACAGGTGCCGGCTAGGAAAGAGCAATGGGAGTCACATTCCACTCATTCCAGTACCCGTCCGAGCTGCCGATGCGTGGTATGCTCAGGTAATTGTTCCGGCGTCGCCAGGAGGCGGTACTTGTCCATCTCTATGGTCGCCGGCCGGTGAGAGGGCGGCGGCCGCCACGTGCATCCCACCGCTCTCCCCCCCCCCCCCACCGCCGCTACCGCCCCCACACCGGCCGTCAAGGAAGCCGCATCGCACCTTACCAGACGCGGGATAACACCTCCCTGACGTTTTAAGAAAGAGAGTGCGAGATACAGAGTGTGAGAGAGAGAGAGAGAGAGAGAGAGGGAGAGAGAGAGAGAGAGAGAGAGAGAGAGAGAGAGAGAGAGAGAGAGAGAGAGAGAGAGAGAGAGAGAGAGGAGAGAGAGAGAGAGAGAGAGAGAGAGAGAGAGAGAGAGAAAGAGAGCGGGCAGACATTGATGCCAGGTGAAACGTACCGACAAAACCTAGTAGCTACATACAACAGACAACTAGGTACCAAATGCTCCATGAAGAATTGTGGAGGCGCTAGTGCTTCCAGCCCGTAAATCGGCGAGTCTGAAGCTGCTGAAGCCTGGTGGCGAGTCACTGTAACTGCAACTGTAAACCGCTCGATGTAGAGGCGCTACATCAATGTGAGGCACCACGGTGTGAATGCATACGACACCGCCTATATTACGTAGTATATGATACATATGGCCGCCTACTTCACGTAATATATGACCGTCATTAAATATTTAACGTGCTAATGTAATCGTCTATTTATACTCTCCGCGGAATATGTGACCGCCTATTCGCTGTGACCGTCTTTTTACCGTGGTTCAGGTGTTTGACAATGCTGGACAGTGTTCGTTGATTGACCGATGTTCGGACTGATTCACATTATGTCCAAAAGGCGTGCACCATTTTCTTATCTCGATTGCTGGCGCCCGTGTATTGCGCAAGAAGCAAAGCTCACCATCTAAAAATCAACTACCTTTACAAAATATATATTTTATGATGCATTCGCATTTTTTTTCGGGATCCCCATTCGATTGTCCCTTTGAGCGAGCCAAACACTGCATACAGTCTCAAAATTATATTGTCACAATACCACTTCACTATGCGGTCAGTGTTCACGGCTGTAGGTACAGCTCTCTCCCCTCTGAGCACACCCGGGTCCTCTCCCCGACTCCAGCGCCTCTGTTTAGGGCGCCCCGCGGGTCACACGTGACCGCCGGTCGGTCCCCATACCGGCCCCGTCCGCCGGCCCGTCCGGTATATCACATCAGCAGTCGATAGTTGACGGCTAGCCGCCAATCAGCGACACCAGCGCGTCCTCATAGTCGGACGTGGACTTGGTCTGGAACGGGATAAAACACTGGCGTCAACACCGCGGAGTGGTCATACGGGGCAGATTGGAGGAGCGGATACATCAGTGATACGGGCCAGAATGTAGGGGCGGATACATAAGTGATACGGGCCAGAATGTAGGGGCGGATACATCAGTGATACGGGCCAGAATGTAGGGGCGGATACAGCTCTGGCGTAAGTACGGGGAAGTTGGGGCGAGACTATCGGAACGAATATAGCACCGGTAAATACGGAAAACTGAGCACATGGCAAGGTCATCGAACGTTTATATAGATTTCAGCATTTTACGTCGTCAATTTTACGAAAATATATTTACGTCCTTATTGTCGAAAAACATAGTCATATTTTTCATTAATGATTAAATAAAAATTGTTGCATTTATAAACAAGTACACAAAACATCAACGTGGATAAACGACACAACTTGAATTCGACTTTACTAGGCTGCGCAATGTGCATTGTGTTGAAGTTCGTACAGTCCACAGCAGAAGTAATGTGCGGTTTCAGTCAAGAGTATGTTCTGCTTCTGAAGCTTTGGAACGATTAGCCACACTACAATGAAACTTTGAATGTAGCTTACATGTATCGTCACATTTGCAGCTGCAACTTTATCTTTTGACGTCTTCCTTTCGATTACTCCGCATTAAAAAAATCGCCAGTCAAAGCCATCCGTTGAGATTGGTAAAACAGCACATTACTTTAGCGGTGGGCCGTACGTTAAGCGGCGTATGGTGTATGCTGCCGAGTGCGCTGCGTGTATCTGAGTGTCCCTCGCTACCCCCGTGTCTCCTCCGTACGTCGATATCGTCTTTGAGCGAGTTCCCGCAGCGGCGCTGGCACTGTGCGCGGTTTTGGTACGTGTGCTGTGTGCTGTGCTGTGTGTGGTGTGCTGTGTGCTGTGTGTGTGTGTGTGCAGTGTGTACCGTGTGCTGTCTGTGACCGGTGATACCGTGTCCCGTACCTCGATATCGTCTTTGAGCGAGTTGCCGTAGCGGCGCTGGTACTCCTGCGCGATGGAGCCCAGGTCCCGCTCGGCCCTGGAGATGATGATCCGCCGCAGAGACGAGTCGTCCTTGGAGATCACCCCGCGGCCCCACAGTGCGTCGTACAGCCGGCCGGCGAAATAGGCCGGCAGGTTCCTGGTCACCTCCACTGCCGAGGGAGCGGGGCAGAGCGGTCAGAGGTGGGGAGGGGACAGAGGGGTCAGAGGTGGGGAGGAGGGGGAGAGCGGTCAGAGGTGGGGGGGGGGGGGGGGGAGCGGGACAGAGCGGTCAGAGGTGGGGAGGGGCAGAGGGGTCAGAGGTGGGGAGGAGGGGGAGAGCGGTCAGAGGTGGGGGGGGGGGGGGGAGCGGGACAGAGCGGTCAGAGGTGGGGAGGGGCAGAGGGGTCACAGGTGGGGAGGGGCAGAGGGGTCAGAGGTGGGGTAGGGGCAAGTCAGCAATCGAGTCTCCGATGGGACGAGCTAGAGTAACCCGACGTGTGTAATTTAACCATCGCCTAGAGAACGACTGAAGTGAAACGCGAGATGGTGAGCTCTTAGACATTTATCAATGAAGCATTTACCCGATTTATAACGTTTAGAACTGTCATCCCCAGTATCACTATTGTCGTCAGCCCCAGTCCTCCCCTCCCGTCCTCACCGATGGCCAGTACGGCGTCCTCTGTGTGCCGGCTGAACTCATCCTCCAGCGCATCCTCGAACGTCTCGCCGGCGAGCTGCTCGTACTCGGAGAAGATGAGCGCCAGCTGCGCGTAGTTCTCGTGCGTCAGATAGTACTTGAACGTCTCCTCACTGGTGCCCAGCCCTTCACCTGGCCAAACAGCGGCAGAGAACGGTCAGTGGTGTCCAACCTAAGACGGGATTGAAGGTTGTCAATGCTGTCACGCTGAGCTTAACTTTATAGCAAAGTACCGTTGCAAAACACCGATATATCTTAGTGTTAGCTATCGATTTCCGTACATATTGTCATTCTTATGCTTCAATTTAGGCTTCCGAAAAGTTGTAAACCTTCATCAAGGATAGCTGTACATCACGTTTAATGAATTTTACCAAACGTAACACCAGCCCCAACACGGTAAAACTATCAAACTAACACTAACATGGTAACACCTCGATCAAACTCGGTAGCAATCACCCGGCCCTGTTCAGACCCGCGGCTCCGTACCTGCGCTGCGCAGGGCGGCCGCCTGCTCGCGCGCCCGCCGTCGGTCCACGGTGAAGCTGTTGTCGCGCGTGCCGTTAGCCAGAGCCACCAGAATGTCCTCCAGGTCGCCGGAGAAGTCGTCGGCAATGTCGTCCTCCAGCGTGTGGCCGGACTCTGCGGGAGGCGGACGGGGTTAGACACCGGGAGACTAAACATAGTTGAAGGACATTGACGGCTGAAGTACAATGAACCTACATGGTCGGAAAGAGTCCAAGGTCGATGTTTTTACTTTTCGTTAGAAGAAGAAAGGACACATTCGCACAAAAATGACGATGCTTTAATAGTGAGAAAAGACAAAAGACAGACATATGTTATAGCCCAAGAATATTCGCACGAGCCTGCTAATGCACGGAAGCACACTATACAGATCTAATGTCCGAGATCCGGTGACTAGTCCTTTGGCTAGTCACCTCGAAACATTCATTATCGAGTACAAGCGTAGAATTTGGGTTTCATCTCTGGTCCACCGACCTGCGTAGAAGTAGGGTTTGATGGCGGCGATCTCCTGGTTAGTGCTGCTGATCAGTGTCTCGAGCACCACGTCCTCGTCCGTGCCCAGACGGTCCATGCCCTCGTGCAGCCGCTTGGCCAGGTACTCCTCCATGGAGGCGCCGTCCAGCAGCTCGACCATCAGGTCCTCGTAGTTGCCCGTCGAGTACCTCTCGATCTTGTCCGCCAGGTTCTGCGGCACAGCACGTCAGAGGTGTGAGGTATCCATCGGATGACTTCATATTAGTCTCAGAGAGTTGGTCGCAGGCTGATGACATTGCGAGACGAACTCACAGCGGTACTATACTGCTGGATCTGTCACTACCGCTGAGGCTTAGCAGGTGTTCGGAGTCAGGGAGTCAGCCACAATTGGCTGTTTTTCGTATGTCATTAAACAGCTTTAATCCACGTATTTTTATACAAATCCTGCAACTTTTCCGACCCGGACGGATTATCAACCCTCATATCCTACAGCATATTCTGTCCCATTACCCCGTTGACATGGACAGTCTCTGTATGTGGGCGGACTGAGCTATGTGCTGTAGCTGAGACGGTCTACCCTGCTCCGTCCCTAGCCGGGCCACTGGTGGCTCTGTGACCGCGCGGCCCGACACAGGCGTCTGGGTCCCGTCTCCCCACTGTAAACACACGGCCGACCTCGGCCGGCGGCAGCCAGGGGCCGCCGGCGGACCGGGGCCAGCGGATCTGGGACAGCGGGCCACCGGCGGCGCTGGACGAAAACACGGCCACGGGACAAGGCCAACGCTGGACGACATCGGGGCCTTAGTGAAGCAGCTCAGGGCCGGACAAATGTCGGACACCCGGGCCAGGCACCGAGTTTAACAGAACCAGGGCTCTACCATCCGTCGGCAGCTGCAGCCTGGAGCAGCCGGGTGTATACCACGAACCAGAAGTTTAGCAGAGCCGAACTATCAGTCTCTTCCAGAAGCTGATGACCAGAACTAGGTCACGAAGCCGCCAGTAGCGAATGAAGCAGGACCGGGTAACCTCATTATCTTTTTACCAGCCCAGTGTTTGACAGTGGTGACCTAAAACCGCGTCCCTCGACGTCTCCGAAATGGATAGTTACTGAGAGTTGAGAGTGAGAAACTCCAGTACTGCTGTCAGTGATGACAGCAGCACGGGCGTTCTCACAATATCACCCATATCCTTCTCACCGAGCCTGTGAGCCGCGCGAAGGCCTGCTTGATGAGGGCGCGCTCCTTGAAGGTCCTCTTGGTGAGGATACCGATCAGGACGTCGTCGTCGACTCCGAACAGGCCGAACGCGTCGCTGTGGGAGATTGTATTCAGTGTCAGACGGGGGATCAACAATACTGAGCGGCTGGGTACAGAGGTGGGGCGAGATGGCAGCGACACGTGACAGGTTAGCTGACTGCGACACTATCCGGGTCAACTGTCAGCAATATCACTATATTAGTCAGCTGTCTCACTGTCAAATCGCAGTCAGCTGACTGTCAGTGGTGACCCGACCCTGCTCAGCTGACTGTCGGCGGTGATATCACCTCGGTCAACTCCCAGCGGGGGCCGATCGTGCCCGTATCAGAACAGTCCTAACATTCCTAGTTTTCCGTCGACCAGTGTTTACGGTGGCTGTGACGAGAGACAGACGTCTGCGGCGGCAGCGGCGGCCGAGCAGCGCCTGGTACCGACAGGACCGGCACACGTACAAACCTCCACTGCCGTCTAACATCCACTTCATACAAGCTTATTCAGCGGCCCCTGACTAGGTCACACGGAGCCTACGTATAAATCGGACCGAACATTGAAAATGATACTTGCTCGTTAGGATTTTTCCGGATTATGTAACGACTATTCTCAGATGAACAAAAACAAACGATAATACTCACTTCAGCGCTCTGGCGTCCCGCTCAGCGTCGAAGTACGGCGTAGGTCGGAGAGTCGGCAGAACGTTGAACTGAAAAGGATTGGGGAAAATGTTACGTTATCAGCAGTCAAATGGAAACCATTATCGCAAGTAGGAATGCATTACTAGTTCCTATGAAATATACCAACAAAATTGATTTTTCTCGAGAGCCAGCGTCCCCCCATTTGCGTACCAGCGGGTTCCTGACTCAGTGAGTTAGTGTGAGTTTCTCTCCCCGGTAGTCTCCCCGTTTCTCACCTGGTGAGTGCTGGAGCAGGCGACGCTCAGCGGGTACGACTTGCAGAACCGGTACATGTCGTACTCGATACGGTCCAGGCTGCTGGCGGGCGGACGGACCGCCGGGCCGCCCGACTGCGGACGGGAGCAGCACACCTGCAGAGGGGGGGGGGGGGGGTCAGAGTGGCGGCCCGAACGAAACGGGCTAAGTCGGTGTTCCGAGGATCGGAAACGTCTTTAAAGACTGTCCCGCTTGACTCGTCTCCCTTTTATTGACCCGTCCCCCTTTTACTGACCTGCCCACCCCTTTATTGGCCTGTCACCGTTCACTGACTCTGCCCCCTTTTATTGACCCATTTAATGACCCATCCCCATTTACTGACCTTCTGCCTTTCATGGACCAATCCCTCACTCTTTATTGACCCACACCCCTTTATGGACCCAGAACCTTTCACTGAACCCTGACCGGACCTATCTGACTCCGTGAATGGCTATTGGCATGTGCCCAAAATCTGGCCCTGTCCATACTTACCTGAGTGCCCGGACAGGTGGGCGCGTTGACGTTGGTGTAGCGGGTGAGGATATCCTGCTGGCGGCACTGATTTCCAGGCACGCAGCTGCACGGCGCCGGCGGGGTAGTCGGCTGCACCTGGGCCCACGGCACCGCGCAGCACACCTGAAAACAGCACAGCACAGCACAGAGTGATAGAACGGCACACCTGATAATAGCATTACACAGTGTGATGGCAATGCATATCTGAACAACGATACGCGATATGTGCACGGTGATGTTGAAACTCAACTGCCTTTGCCAAGAACGCAAAACGCTACTGGATAATGCCGATTTCCAGTTAACGTTCGTTCTCCAATCCTCGCCTGTCCAGCAAACATCATGACGAATGAATTGGTCAGATCACCAATCTCCTGTCACCCTGTCACCGCTATCACCTGTGAGCTCACCGATCACCTGTGAGCTCAGCCGTCACCTGTGAGCTCACCTGTCCGTCGTAGCTGCAGCGTCCCGTCTGCGAGACCTGGCGCATGTCGACGAGCAGCTGCTGCGAGGCGCCGATCTGGCCGCCCTGACACAGGTACGAGGAGACGCACACGCAGGGCTGGGAGCTGGAGACGTGCGGCGCCAGCGGCGAGGAGCGGCCGGCCAGCTCCAGCTCGGCAGTCGGCACAGAGGTGACCACGCCCGGCCGGAGGCCCGGAGTGGACTCCAGCTGACGGAGCACCTCCGGCGGCGTGTCACAGCACACCCGGAACCCGGAGCACTGCTTCCGGGAGCCAATACTGTGGGACGGACACAGCGTCAGTACAGACCCGGAACACAGTCAGTACAGACCCGGAACACAGAGTCAGTACGGACCCGGAACCCGGAGCACTGTTTCCGGGAGCCGATACTGCAGGACGGACACGGGAGGGGAGGAATCAGTGGAGACACATACATATGCACGGATACGACACGAAATATACTTCGACTCTGAACAATGACGGCAGAGGAACACTTATCGCTACCACTACTCGCAGGTCTAAAATGCCTGAATGAGTAAATGCTGTTCGGGCTGAGGTCGGGTTGGACCCAGTGAAGTGTTGAAGGTCGGGTTTAACCCACCTGAAGTCGAGGTCTGGTTGGACCCACCTGAAGTCTGACAGGTCAGGTTTAACCCACCTGAAGTCGAGCAGGTCGGCGCCGTGGTGCAGCAGGTTGCCGTCCGAGCAGCGGTCGAAGCGCACGCAGACGCAGCTGTCGCCGGCCTCGGCGGCGGCGCGCGGCGTCTCGTCTCGGCCGGTGAACAGGTCGGTCCAGCCGCGACGGTGACGCTGCGACTGCTGCGAGTAGCTGCTCCAATAGCTGGAGCCCGACTCCAGCGGCGCCTGACGGGACAGAGACTCAGTGAGGGCCGGGAAGGCCGAGCTGTAAGACGCTTCAGAAGGCGAATAGTGCTCTATGCAAGGCACCACTTGGTATGAAGTTTCGGAGGAACAACAGACAAGACGGTCTGATATAATGTGAGTTATGTTAGACATGTGCTTTGAGCTTTAAGTATAAGTTTGTTGTTCGTATGAACGTTAAGCATGGACAGTTTGATGAAACAGCTGATAAAATCGATGCTTCTTAGAGTTCTGAGTTGGTCGTCGGCGCTACACTCACCGCCTGCGAGGAGTGAGAGCTGGACGAGTAGCGGTAGCTGGAGCCGCTGCCGCCCGCGGAGCCGGCAGGGTACTGGTGGGAGCCGCCGCCGGACGGCACCAGTCCTCCCGAGGAGCCGCTCTCAGAGCGGGAGGACCAGGAGGACGAGGACCGGTAGCTCGAGCCGCTCGAGTAGCCGCCCGACGAGCCGCCCGCCAGGCCCAGGTCGCCCCCGGACAGACCCAGGTCGCCGCCGGCGTCCCCGGACACCACGCGCCGCTCGGAGTAGTGGCGGGACGAGGTCACCGACTCGCCGCCGGAGAGGCCCGCGTCTCCGCCGGCCAGCAGGCCCGCGCCGCCGCCGCCGCCGCTCGAGGTGGAGTGCTGGGCCGAGTAGCGCCGCGAGGAGCTGGTCACCTCCGGCCGCTGAGCGCTGTGCTGGCCGCGCAAACCGGCGCCACCGGCCAGCAGCGCGGCGTCGCCCTGCTCGCCGGACGAGGTCGAGCTGGAGGAGCTGCGGTAGGAGTAGTGGCGCGAGCTGCTGGAGGAGCCCAGCTGCGGGCCCGGCAGGTCGACCGGCCGGTCCGGGTAGCGCGGGTAGCCGCCCGTGGTGGCCTGCTCGCCGCTGTCCTCTCCGGAGACGACGCGCCGCTCCGAGTAGTGCCGGCGGCTGGAGATGACCCGCGAGCCGCTCTGCTCGGCAGAGTCCTCCTTGTCGGTGTAGCCGGAGCCGTGGGCGCCGGACAGCAGGTCGGCGCCGGCGCCGCGGTACCCCGAGCTGGTCCTCTCGTACGAGTGGGTGCGGCGGCTGTGGCCGGCGCTGCTGTCGGCAGGGTAGAGCGGCCGGCGCGGGTCCGCCGGCTCGGGCAGCTGCTCGCCGGAGGAGCTGCGGCTGCGGTAGCTGTATTGGCGCGTGCTGCTCGTCTGGCCGCCGGTGACGGCCGGCAGAGGCGCGGCGCCCGAGGTCTCGGTGCGCGAGTGCTCGGTGCGACTCACTTCGGTGCGCCGGTGGCCGCCGGACACGTCCCTGGCGTCATCGTACCGCGAGAGCGAGCTCTGCAGGCCGCGGAGGTCGACCGGCCGCTGCACGGGCGCCCGCTCGTCCGTGTCCACGTGCTGCACAATGTCCCTGAACAGGTCGCGCTCGCGCTGCACGAAGGCCGGGTCGGGGGTGGTGTGTCGGGGGACGGGGGCCGGGGTTGGCAACAGCGGAGCCGGCTCCTCGGCCGGCTGGGACACCAGCTGACGCTTACAGCAGACCATCGGGCGGCGGCACTTCTGCAGGCCGGCCAGCGAAAAGTCGCGCTCGCGGTAGGAGCAGGTGTCGCGCGGCACGCAGTTGCAGGCGGGCTCCTCGCGCACCTGGGGCTCGGCCTGCGGCCGGCGCACGGGCCGCTCGGTGGGCGCCGGCCGCGGGTAGTCGGTGGGCACCCGCGGCAGCAACGGCCGCTGCTCGCGGCAGCACACCTCGTCGGTCCGGCAGCGGCTCAGCGCGGCCGCCGAGACCACCCGGTCCGAGTACAGACACCGCGAGCGGGACACGCAGGCGCAGCTCTCGGCGCCCTCCTCGCGGCGCGTCTCGGTGCGCTCCTCGCGGAAATAGGATGTGGAGCGGGACCCGGAGGACCCGCTGTGCGTCGGCCGCCGGCCGCCCGACCGTGAGCCGTACTCCGACTCGGCAGAGTCCGAGCCGAACTCAGAGTGGGACCGTGACCGCGAGTCGGACCGCGAGTCGAAGCGCGAGTCGAATCTGGCTCCGGAGCCGCGCACGCCGTGGATGTCGAACACGTCGTCGAAGCCGCGTCCGCCGACCATGTTCTGTCGCCGCCGGTTGTACTCGGCCTCAGAGATGGTGGCGCGGTCGAGCACGGCGCCGTCCGCGTCCCGGATCAGCTCCAGGCCGTACTCGCGCACGCCCTCGCTGTTCCGGCGGCCCGTGATGCTGGTGGTGTGCGTGCCGTTGCTGAACGAGTAGTGCGACTCCTCGCTGGAGAAGCTGGTGGTGGAGTGCCGGCCGTGGCCGCCGCGCCGGTGCGCCAGCCGCCGCTCCATCTCGGTCAGTAGCTCCTCGCCGGAGAGCCGGCGCGAGCTCAGGCCGTGCAGCTCGCCGCCGCCCAGCGACTCGAACCCGAAGCTGCCGTCGGAGCCGGTGAGGCCGAGGCTGGCGCGCCGCTGGCGGTACTCGGCCTCCGAGAGCACGGTGCTCTCGATGACGGCGCCGTCGGCCAGCCGCGTCATGCGCAGGTGGAACTGGGGCACGCCCTCGCTGGAGCGCTTGCTGGTGATGGTGGTGCTGTGCGTGCCGTTGCTGAAGGTGTACTCGGACTCCTCGCTGGAGAAGTGGTAGGTGCGCCGCTGTCCGCCGCCGCTGCGGCCGAGCAGGCCGGGCCGGTAGCGCGGCGCCAGCTGGCCGGAGCTCGTGTAGCGACTGCTGTGGGAGGAGGAGGTGCGGTAGCCGCCACCCGAGTGACCCCCGCCGCCGCCACAGATGTCACAGCCCTGGTCACCGCCGGCCGCGGCCCAGTCAGGCTGCCCGCCGACCAGCACCGTGCGGAACCTGTCAGCGGCGGCCGGCGCCGTCAGCACCGCCGCCACCGCCAGGCAGGCCACTAGCGCGCGCATCGCTCTCCGGGGTACCGGGGAGGGTCAGTCCAGTCCAGTCACACACACTGCTGCCACCGAGAGCCGCTGGAGGTCGGCCGGAACCGATTGGTGTGCGCCCCGGCGGCCACGGCCCTCTATATAGCCGCGGAAATATAAACACAGCGGCCGGGACGGACGGTGGCAGGAGCCAGGGACGGGACGGCACGGGCTGGCGCGTACGCAGCTCATTAGCTGCCAAATATCATTGGTCACAAGCTACACTGCTGCAGTGACAGCTGCAGCAGCATCGCCAGCTTCAGAAGCTTCAGCGGAAACGGCTGCAGAAGAGGGCACCGAAGAGGCTGGAACATCAGTTCCAGTTGTTGCAACAGCTGCTGCAGTCGTCTCAGTTGCACTTGCGAATCCAAATGCATTGCATTTTGCGGTACCCATTCAAAGACACATTCATCCGAGCTGTCATCAAACTATTCGATATCACTGCCGGATCTTGCGTACCAGATTAGCCGATTGCGGAGCCACCGGCGGTAAGTTATTGACGTCATGGAGTAAATTCATGGAATCTTGGATGACGCACGGGATGTTTTCGCGCGCTACCGGGCAGATTTCTCCAAACGTCGCTCACCCCGATCTGTCGAATGGTTCGCCTGTGAACGTCAGCCTCCGGTGACCTCTATAAAGGTCAATGGCATAGATCCAGCACTGTCGGAAAATTCAACATACCCTGGTCGGAATCACGCCGGCTCCAGAGACAAAGGTTTTTCTTAAAGTATGCGAGGAATAGCAAATCAGGGACTTCGTACTGCGTAGGCTGAGCAGCATCACTTCACAGCTGGGGGAAGAAAACTGTCGAGGACTGCACCAGCGCAGCAGCACGCTGCTCGAGAAAGACAGATGCTTTCAGTCCAAAGCAGGGCGTGTAAAAATCTGAAACTTCCAGCAGGGCGAGAGATTAGGTCATGCACAGACTTCTCTATACATGGACTGTGCACTGATCTGGCCGAAGTAGCATAAGGGGCCCAAAAGTGAACCTAGTTTTAACTTATTAAGAACCCTGCAAACCTGGCAAAATTTAACATGGATATTGTTTGAAGTTTTATCTGTCTAGTAAGTAAAAAAAAAAATGTTTTGATTTTGATATAAACAAAAAAAAAATCGTTAACAACAATAACAGTTTTCATGAAAATAGTAGTGGTAAATGATATCTGAGAATATCGGAGGTATCTCCCGCAAATAAGCACCAATGAGTTGCACGCAAATTCTTTATTTTCTGGAAATCCTGCCACAATCAAGCCAAGGCCCTAAAATTAAGCAAGGCTTCGCCACATTTAGGATATTTAGCCTATGATTTTAGTTGTCTATTTTCCATCTTTTCTATTTTCCTTTGAAAGGGTTTTTGATGACACGGAAGTGTACGGTACGTAATTGTTATTCTGGATATAGAATCACACGGCATCGGAGAGGAAGTGACAAGAGAAAGGGAAAGGTATCGGTATTTAGCTTTCCACGCGAATGTGCATTGCGAAAGAAGTGGCTGGAAGCAATCAGACGAGGTGTAAAAGAATCATACCCTAAAAGTGGTGGGGTTTGTGAGCTCCACTTTTCCAGTGATGACTTTTGTGTCACTGCCACGACAAGAAGAACCGACCGTCAGCGACGGCGCCTCAAGCCAACCGCAGTTCCAACAGTGCTCCCACCACGGGACAAGTAAGTTGATATGTTTATACCTCATCAAAGCAATATGGGCATTAGTAAGGTATTAAGGACATCTTAGGTGTTGAGGATGGTCTTTACATTTTGACACCTGTGAAAATTTGGGAACTCTACCTCAAATGACCTTTGATCTGTTACGTCATTAATGTGATCATGTCAGACGTTAACCCGCGCCGGGCCGGTGCCCCATCAGCGGGCCGGGGGGGGGGGGGGCGTCGTAGAGACAAGCGGTAGGCGGCGTTCGAAAGAACGGTAAAAAAAAAACAGTAAGAAAGTACTTCGGTCATTTTTCGGTCAGGTCAAAAACTGGGTCACCAACCAGAGGTAACCGAAGAAAAATGTTCGTTTTTACTTCTGATGGTTTTCTTGAATAACTTTTGATCCAGACAACTCTGACGGCCCGGAGTTGGAGTCGGTTTCAGCACATTTTAATCTTTTCCTTTTCTGACCCGACCCGACCTTACAAGCTGACCTTACATGACCTCCGTAGGCCGAACTGTTAACCTGCATGCATACATAGCGGTTAAAAAGGGTCGCACATGCTGCTGAATTGTTCTTTTTGTGTATATAACTGTATATAACTTCTTTTTGTGTATATAAGTTCCGAGCTACATTTATCAATTTATAGCATTTATCCGGCAATGTCCAAATTACCCATGTATGCTAATTTGTTTCCCATATATTTTGCAACCGTTGCTAAATGCAGTTGTGAAGTGAAATATTTCTCTCCTTTTGCAGGAATGAGAGCGGACAGGAGACTCCACGACCCACTATACGCGCGACTCCAACAGCACGAAGGCTGCTGCAAAGAGAACTGTGGGAGGAACAAGCCGCATCCATGTTTCGTTCCGAGAACGTGGCATCTCTTACCGACATGGTGAGAAAGCTCTCTACGGTGGACCTGCCGACTGGGTACCGGCTCGTACAGATGCATGTTCCTGAACTTCAGGAGGACATTGTGACGATCAGAATGGAGGCATTTGACACAGATCAAGGTATTCCAGTCATCGTACGAAACCTGACGATCTACAGTGATCTTCGTTTCCGTTTGTACGCAGCCGGGAGCGAGTTGCCTACTCTTAGGGCAGCTGATCTGACAAGCGTTCCCGGGAGCTTCGAAACGACGACTGAGGTCCTGAACGTGCTGGCGTTCCTCAAGGCACAGTCTTTGAAAGATGGCAACGTGATGACTGCACTGCATTTTCTGCAGAAAATCAGCACGGACGATGCAGCTGGATCATGCGGTACTTTTGGGGAGTTCGCCGCTGAACAGCTGCAACTCCGACTCAGTCCAGCAAAAAGGAGGAGGTACAGCACGACACTCATGTCCACTGCAGTGGTGTGGAGCCGAACGAGTCCCCGACTGTATGAAGACATGCGCAGCTCGGGTCTTCTGGTCCTGCCACACAGAGTCACTCTCCGGAGACTTACGTCAGCACTAAGCGTGCAAGAGGGACTGGAGATCGGGACCATCAAGTATTTGGAGATGCGGGTCGCCAAGTTGTCTCCAAGAGAACGGCTGGTAAATCTGGCCATGGACGAGGTTTACTGTGCCACAGCACTCGATCTGGCGGGAGGAAGACTGCATGGGGAGAGCAGCGGAGAAGCAACAGCTGTCGCCAGTACCTTGTTCTGCGCCCACATTTCGTCGGTTGCCGGGAACTACGAGGATTTGGTAACCATGTCGCCAGTCACCCACGTCACAACCCAAGAAATGAAGAGAATCTTCTTCCAAGTCCTGCGATGTCTCACCCATCTTGGGTACCGTGTAGTGTCCGTTACAACTGACGGACACAGAACAAACCAAGCCTTCCATCGAGCGCTTGGAGAAGATGGGAGGCATCAGGAGTATATCCTGAATCCCTGGAGTCCACACAGTGATGACAGGATATACACCATGTACGACTCAGTCCACTTGTTCAAAAACATGTACTTCAACCTCCTGAACAAAAAACAACTGCACTGTCCGCCACTCGATGCAGGTGGGCCTCCTCTGGATGTTCACCTCAGCCACCTGGAAAAGGTACACTCCATCGAGTACAGCTCTGATGCCAAGATGGCATACCGACTCACGGATAAGGTGCTCCATCCAACAAGCATAGAGCGCGTGAACGTGCAGCTCGCCGTAGCAGCCACTCACGAGACAACCATCGCTGCGCTCCGCTACTATGGGCAACATGCAGAGTACGGCTCCTTAAACGGTACAGCAGAGTTCCTGCACCAAGTTCGGAGGTGGTTCGACATCGTCAACGTGAAGTCCCCTGGGAAGCATGTTCGTCGCAACGACTCGACTCTGCAGCCTATTTCCACTGGAGATGAAGAAGGGCTGGCATACATCGAGAAGTTCGGAAAGATGATGCTGCGCTGGGAAGCCCAGGGAAACAAGAAGACGCAAATGTCGCTCGACACGATACGTGGAGTGGCAGCAACCTGTCGAGGGCTGGTCGGGCTGGCCAAGTATCTGCTCAGACAGTGTGATCTCGAGCATGTCCTGCTTGGCAAGATTCAATCCGACCGGCCAGAAGGTCACTTCGGCCATCTCCGGAAACTGGCCGGAGGCAACTTCTGGGCGAGCTCTCGTCAATTTTTTGAAGGAGAGGCTATCGTCCGCGTAAAAAGCCTAATTTGGCTCTCAGGCTATGGTCTGAGCACAGTGACGGCTGGCATGCACCCTGTCTCTCAGCAGCGCCTGGAAAACGACCAGCGAGCCGTCACTGAGATCACCGAGTATGCCGCTGCTGCCTCTTCTGATGACCCAGCCCAAGACGTCCCAGAAGGGACACAGCAGGCTCTGCACCACATAGCAGGCTATTTAGCCCACTCAGTCAAGAAGATTCACAGATGTGATGAGTGTCGCGCGCTACTCTCTGACGGGCTAAGGGCGCAACTGGTAACCGTGGTGGCAGAGAATGCTGAAGAAAAGCTGGTGGCTGCTAGCTTCACCGACCTCCTCAACCGTGGAAAGCTCCTGCAACCGAGTGAACTGTGCCTGCGAGTCGTCATGGAGGTCTGCCAGCTCTACAGACTTCTGGTGAATTCACAGTCAGAGACTCGCACCATCCTCTTTGGCAGTTCAAGTCCCAAGAATGTGTTCAGATCTGTGGTTCAGAACTTTATTTATTTATTTATTTATTTATTGCATATCTTTGAACCATCCACTGCAGCTGTGGCTATTCTTGGTCCAGTGTCATACAGGGCAGTAAGAGATACGTACAAGTTTACAAAATTGGAAACACACCTGCTCATACAATGGCATCACACACCACACGGTAGTCGCTTCTCACTTCAGAGTACGCCTCAAGCTCCGCTTGAAAACGTCCGTGCTGAGCGTAGTCAGCCGTTCCGGCACACTGTTGTATAGCTGTGGGGCTCGGTACGCAAACTGACGCCGTCCTGCCTCTGACCTGACACGAGGTAGATAAAAATGGCTATCTTGTCGCGTGGGTCGGTCACGTAAACTAGACACTCTTCTAAAAAGTGAAACAAGTGTAGACGGCTCTCCCGATCGTAAGATGCGATGAGCGAGGGTTAAGGTATGAAACTCCGACAGTTGCTTAGCGGTAAGCCAGTCCGGACCATTTAAGATGTCAGAGATGTGGTCAAACTTGCGCCTGCCAGCTATAACCCTGGCACAGAAGTTAATGACTTTTTGGAGCTGTTTGTGGTTTTTGTCTGAGCCGTTGCCATAAACAGTTAAACAGTATCTGACATGTGACAGGACGAGACCGTGTACGATAGTAGGAACTACATTTTGAGGCAAGTGATGTCGAATATGGCTAAGACCGATCAACATTCCAAAACACTTGTTCACGACATGTGCGACATGAGCGTCCCAAGACAATATCGGGTCGAAAACGACACCCAAGTTGCGTGCTGTAGGCTCCGGACGGAGACTCTCGCCGCGGAACCGCACCTCGAGCGTGGGAACGCTGCGGAGGTTCCGCCGGCTGCCGAACACCAACAGCTGCGTCTTGGAAGCATTCACCTTCAGGGAGTTACCCCTGAACCATAAGTCGAGCGACGCAAGGCAGCTCTCCATCCGCGACACTAACTCAGTCAAATCATCCCTACTTCCTGACACTAAAACTTGCGTGTCATCAGCATACTGTACGACATGAGCATCCGGTGCGTAAAAACTCAGATCATTGGCAAAAACAGTGTAAAGTAAGGGCCCAAGGGCCGACCCCTGGAAAACGCCCATGGCGTTCGGCAGTGGCTGTGAGAGGCGATTACGGCCGGAAAAGGGATCTGGGATAGAAACACTTTGAGTATGGTCGGTAAGGTAAGAGCGAAACCATCCAGCGTCGACACCATGCTGCTGTAATTTTGTCAAAAGCATGCTCGGCGATGACGAAGAACTGAAGGAAGTGGCTTGTGGAAGGGGGCACAAGTTTACCAGCAATATCCTCGCCACCATGGCCGGAGCGCTGTTTAACGTGTTCGTGTCTAACCACGTGAAGGATGTGAACAGCCAAGTGCATAGCAAGAAACGAAAGGGGCCGCCGACGCGCACCAGTGGGCGCGGTGTGGACTCTGACAAGATCCGCAAACTAACGGGCGCGAGCTGAGTTCATGCCTGTTCAAGAACATGTAGCATGCACCCTGTCTCTCATCAACGCCTGGAAAACGACCAGCGAGCCGTCACAGAGATCACAGAGCATGCCGCTGCTGCCTCTTCTGACGAGCCGGCCCAAGACGTCCCAGGAGAATCGGCCCAAGGGCTGGGATAGTGGACCAAATCGGTGTTTGTGCCCATGCTGGCCGTTGGGAATCGCTACGAATACATACGTGTGGGAACCAAAACTGTCCTTGTTGAACCTGATCGATGGTGAAAAGTAGTCCACTTGTAGCTGGGAGTATAACTTTCTGTTTTATGACAGTACCTACCATTGAACACACAACTCAAAATGCACAGAAACACTTGCATGCCTCTGATCTTCGCTTGATATTTAAGTCCACAGCCTGGAATTTTGACTCAAGATTGGCAATTCTGGCGGGAAAACATAGCGGAAAATGTTTTGTTTTCCATTTAAGCGAAGGTTCCAGAACGTTAAAATGAATAATTCAAAGAAAAATGGCCATGCTCCCTGGCAAATGCTTCAAACGTATTGCCACAATTTTGGGCCCCTTATGCTACTTCGGCCAGATCAGTGCACAGTCCATGTATAGAGAAGTCTGTGGGTCATGCTGACCAAGGAGGTAGGACGCTTGAGGCCGTATACCTACATGTATGTAGGGTCTGAATGTCACGTATCTGCGTCGCCCGTTTTTTTCTGTTTACACAGAAGCCCTGCCAGCTCGGGCCCCTCACTCCCCCCGGCGGTCGGCGCTGGCCGCCAGCCATAGGTCATGAAAGTGATTCAGAGGCCCCACCCTCCTCCGGCCAGGGGTGTCAACGTCCGTGACAGACCCAGGGGCGACTCGTGACAGTGATGGCGGCGACCCCAGGGGACTGCCAAGGGTTTCGTAACAGCCAGGTGGGCTCGGCGACCTTTCCGCTGCCGCTGCGGCCTCTCTGGGGAGGGGAGGAAAGGCTGGGGGTAATTGCACACTGCACACTGCACAGGGTGGACGGCTCTTGATCAATAGCAGCTGAAACAACATCCGTCCGTAGAAAACCATGCCCACAAGCTACTAAAAATCCCATGTCATATAGACCTTCACATTTCACATCAAAGCACAGTTGCCTTTTACGGATCATAGCACGTACATTTTGGGTCTACTAGGAGAGTGCAGTGAGCACACTCCTTTGCACGTTTTGCAAACACCTATTTGAGACGTAAGTACGTTGTCTGAGCATCCGTTTCGGCGAGTTTTGCCTTGTATACGTTGGCGGTGTGGATTTTCCACTCTAGCGCCACTGGAGGCCGTATGAGTTGCCGCCGTACCGTCCGGCACGTGCCGTGTATCTTTCTCAGTTGTTTTGACTGGTCCCGGAGCCCCGGTGACGTCAGCACGCGGCTGTTTCTTCTCGTCCAAACCGCTGCGTCAGCCGGCGATACACCACAGACGGTTCCCGGAGTCGGTGCCACTTGGGCACAGCGCGACTTGGGGTATGTATACCGCCGCATAGTTCATCCACAGACTTTCTATGTCATAGCCCCAAGCCAATGTGTAGAATTCGACATTCTATAGAATCCCTAGACATTCTCTAAAATGCCTGGACGACCAGGAATCCCTCTAAACGACCAGGCATTTTGAATGCCTAAGCGTTCTGTAGAATGCCTGGATGACCAGGCATTCTATGGACTGAGTAGGCAGTCTGTGGAATGCCTAATATTCAGGCATTCTACTCTATGGAATGACTCAGGACCCGAGTTAGACGGGGGGGGGGGGCGTGAAGACGCCACCCCCCCCCCTCGTACACCACGGAAAAACTTAGACCACCAGGACGGCGTGGGCTAAAAACGCATCGGCTAACCAGCCACTTTTTTGCTGAAGGGCCGTACATTCTGGTCTCTGGTCGAGGGCACAGCTAATTTTGCTTTGAAAGTGCAAATGTCCGTCCAAGCGACGATTCAATTCTGAAAGGACAACGCGCAGTAAAACAGGAAACCCTCCATCCTGTTTTACCCCCTCCCCCCCAAAAAAAAATCGAACAAGCCAAACCCATTTTAAAATGTCAACATATTTTTCAGCGTTTACGATTCTAGGAGCGGGCGACACAGAGGTGACCTATGGGGCACCATTTTGACAGTTCAGACCACTATAAAAACAGGCTGGGGGCCGACGAGGCTCAGAACAAACAACCATGAAGTTGGTCTTCCTTCTACCGGTGCTGGCACTTCTATGTGCCACGCTGCGTGAGTATACTATATACCTATAATATAGTGTGGCTATTTCATGGGCAGTTAGTTGTAGGTACGCTGTAAACAATGACTGCGCAAACAAATAATTCATGTATGTAGCGTCGTTTTGTCGGTAAAATTGTATGTGTGACGTATAATTATAGTTCTGGTGATAACAACAGAAATCATGTTCTCAGCAATGTGTGTGGAGCTCTGTTTCTGTGTGAGTTTACTTCTGTGAATATGAGCACTAATTTAGTGCAAATACTCAATTGCAGAATCGGCGAGCGCGTGGCAGTGCCCCCGTCACCACATAATTTACCTACGGACCTACAAGACATCGGCCAGCGCCAGCAAGTGCTACTGCTCTCGGCCGGGCTGGAAGTGCTGCCCCACCAAATGGGGATACATGTGCCTGCCCGTCTGTAGGCCCTACACACACTGGAAGATCAGGTGTCCCAAATACAAGCGCCGCTGCGGACTGGTCACCCAAACCAAACACTGGTACTCCAGATGCTTCTGAACGTCACACGGCGTCGAATACCGGGAGACGGACGGCGCAGGGAGAAGACGAGCCCGAGACCCGCCGTCCGCAGCAGGGGCTGACGGGCCAGGATACCGGCCGCAGCAGGGCTGAATCACGCACAGCTTTATCAACCCTATCCGAACCAGGCTTTGTCAGATATCTTCGTTTCACCTCCAGTTCGTAATAAATGCACATTGTACCAAACCAACGAGTAAAGCTCTCGTGACCTGTATATTTGGCTTATGAAGAAACAATGCAATATAATTTCGCTGGGGAACGATTGTTTCATGGGTTAAAGATCTAAGGTGGAATCATCAGCCCACTGAATTGGAGCCGAAGGAATGGACATTCGACGGTTACCCCGGCATATAGGTATCTACTGTCTTCGCTACCCCCATCGGAAGCTTATTGCTTGATCAAGACCACTACTATCAAATATCAAAGTCCGTACAAAAGAGGGCTATGCAGAAATCGGGTATCTACCCACCACTCAGTTTCGAAAAGCTCAGACAAGTCAAACCCATTTCAAAATGTCAACATATTTTTCAGCGTTTACGATTCTAGGAGCGGGCGACACAGAGGTGACCTATGGGGCACCATTTTGACAGTTCAGACCACTATAAAAACAGGCTGGGGGGCCGACGAGGCTCAGAACAAACAACCATGAAGTTGGTCTTCCTTTTAGCGCTTCTATGCGCCACACTGCGTGAGTATAGATATTAGATAGGTACACACTACAGACCTAGTACAAGCCTATACAAAACTACAAACCTATAATTTGGCTAAACACATAACTATAAAAACCGTGGGACAGTCATTGGTAAATGCCTACACTTCTAACACTGTAGACGGCCATTTCATAATTTAGACGATCGCTGTCGTAGGTATAACGCACTTGGTTAGCCACCTCCCAGCTAACAGGAAACGTTACTACAATGTTGTCACAACGTCGTGTTTCGGTAAGTTGCGAAATTACGTTTTAATTACGTTGTAGCAACGTTCTGAACGTTGTGAAGCCATGGTTTGGTCCGAAAGTCGTGGTAAAACGTCGTGACAACGTTTTATTGGTACGTTGCTGCAACCGCGCACTTGCAGCATTATATTTTGATAATGCATGGTGACATATATGGCCATATAATGCATTTCCTTTGATTTTCAATGCGCATATTCAGTTTTCATCGTTAAATTTGACATATTTTAACACTTGGACTGTTCACGTTGTCAGCTGGTGGTCGCCAACACGTTAGACACGTTTACATAGGGTTTGTTGCAAGCTTATATCTCCGTCCGTGATGTTGCAAAAGATGCCAATGGTGCTTAACAATTTACAAAATGATCCCCTCTAAATATTTGAAGACCACTGCAACGAAATTATCGTCAAATTAACCAGCTAGAGCCTCGTCAAATATGCTATGTAAACCGGGTTGTTGTTAAAACGGTTTTTCACAACCTTGACATTATAGGTACTGAATAATTAGCGGTGTTTTTACAAGTAAATTCTGATACCTTTCTCTCTCTATCTCTCTCTAATATATATATATATATATATATATATATATATATATATATATATATATATATAACATGTGTAAATTGCAAAGCGTCATTGGCATGTTTTGCATCACAGGCGGAGCTAGAGGCTTGCAACTATCCCTATGTAAACGCGGCTGTTATCCGCGGCTGCCAGCAAGCCACGCGGGCCGCCACTCGGCGAACGGTGGCTCGCGCCCTGACCTCGCCTGAGGGGCCGTGACGTCAGTGTCACCGGCCGGCGTTCAGAGCCAGCCGGCCGAGCCGCAGTCTACGCGGCGCGAGCGAGCAGTGAGGGCCGGCGGCGGGCGCGGCTGAGATAGCTGGAAGATGAAAGATAGCGCCAGTTGTCTGCGTTTGATGCGATTGTTGCTTTGACTGGTAAGTCAAAGTACCATTTACGAGTAGCATTTGCAAGATTGTGCCTTGTAATATCGTGCGGTCTAGGCTATAGTTCATTGTAGCTCTAGCCTCTAAGGTGTTGGCATGTTTGACCTAGCCTGTCGCACTGTTACGGAAAGTGGTGCAGGTATTTTTGTGATTTTTTCATGAATTGAATGTCTGATTTTCCCTCATGTCTTCCCGCAGACGTCCTGCAACTCGTCAGCGCTTTGTGGCAGGCCTACTGTCGGCAATGCGGTAGCGAAGTGGCTGTCCGGAAGCTGCGCCCGGAACGGGGGGTGCGCAGACCGTCTAGTCAGGCACTGCCAGCTGCCTAGGGACATCGAGGCCGCAAATGAGCCGGTGCCTAACGGTCCGCCGAGTGATCCTCCCAGCGAGGGTTAGTGAGGAAGTGAACTTCCACCAGTTCTGGCGTGCTAACGGCTAGCGCCAGAGCCGGTAGAACCCAATTCCGTCCCAAGCCCCCATGGGAGCGCCCCTGGGCCCCATGCCCCATCACCGATGCCGCCGCCGTCGTTTTTTTTTGTAAATTGATCTGTATGATGTTTTGAAATATACACTTCTTACATGCCTTTTTTACAAGTCTAGAGAACGGGAAGAGAGCGTCGGAAACACATTCTGAGTATGTTGCGATTTGCGAACACGTTGAGAGGGCGTTGCGAAAATGTTAGGTATGGACGTTTACTCAGGGTCGCAGGGACGGCAATACGAAGTAGCGACAACGTGGTGCGCACGTGATAAAAACGCCGCAGAGACGTTGCCAAAGCGTTCTATATTCCTTGTAGTCACGTTGCGGAAACGTGGTGAAACGTTCCAGAAACACTGTTGGTACGTTACAGAAAACATTTCATAACGTTGGCGGGACGTTGTAAGAACAGTTTTGGGACGTCACGGCCACGTTACAGAACGTTGTGATGACATTCAAATGCATGGTCGGATGACGTTGTCACGCCGTTGTCTGGAGTCTACACAAATTACGTTGTCACAACGATAAATCGGGACGTTGTGGTAACCATTTGACAACGTTTAAACGACGTTGTAACAACGGCAAATTGTTAGCTGGGCTATTTGTGAATGGTAGACGCTGATCCGTAAGCGAGGTGA